TCCATACAACAGCGACCAAAAACAGAATTACACACAAATATTATCATCAATATGATTTATTATTATTATTATGTTTCACTCTAACATAAACCTCTTTTGACAACTGTGTGCTGGCAATGATTTGCTGGAACAGTTCGCTTTCCATTGTTCATATTTGATCTTATGCAGTAAATGTTCTTTGCATAAATGCTATCACCATTATGGTGTTCTGATATTGTTAGTTGTAGGATTCAAGTTAACTATATTTATTTTGGCTTTTTCTCTCGGTCTATCGATCCTTTTGATATTTCACAAAAAAACTTTTGACAATAATAACTTCAATGACGTGCGTTTATATCTGTGTTCAAACAATTGTCATGTTTTTCTTTAACCAATTTAAATTGTTAAAAAAATAGGCATGACTCAACGTACTCAGTTAACAAGCACATGTGAGTTCATGATGTGGGGATTCGGTTGAATATAGTTCGTTCGCCTTATTCCAAACCCTATATCGAGCACTACACTCAAAGGTCTTTATATATATATATATAACCCGATTGTAGTCAATCGTTCGATCAGAGAACCCACCAAACTCTGTTCTAGCTTCTTACGGATGAAGACGGAATGCCTTAGTGACTAAAGAAAAGCTGTATTAGTCAAATGTTCTGTAGAAAGTGTCTTTAGTCCCCACCCTCTAGATGAAACTGAAATAATGAGCGGAACTTATGGTAAACAGTAAATTTGTTCAAATGAGGCATATGTCTACTTAGTACAAGTCAGAGATATTCTCGTAAACATAACCTAAGAAACCATATTATGCAACAACGTTGTTCAGCTGTTAGCGCAATGACCTTCCGCTTAAAAACCTTGAGCATCTAAATAACCGTGAGTCTCAAAATAGATGACCAACAAAACATTTTACTTAACCCTATTAAAAGAAAAGACGCTCCTTCTTCGTAATCTGAAGCAAACCTAATACGACAAAAAACTAATAATATTTGCTGATTAACAGTGATTCAAAAAAAAATTAACTTTTTCAAAAGGTTTGTGAATCAACGAAACTCCTCAAATCTTGTTTAAACGACAAGACTAATTTTAGAAACTTCAAGCGGAATGGCTTAGCTGCAATAAGAGATAATCATTGTAATAGTTAACAAACCGATCACTCAGTAACTGTTTACGATTTGAAGTGATCAAGGTCGCTGAAGTCACGAAACGCTTTGAACCAAGTAAAAAGTCTAGCGCTCACCTCGTGAACACTAGGAAACACTTATGTTTGTAAAATTCATAATCACTACTAAAACTTTTCAGACAACTGTATGAAAACCAAAATGTTTCTCTAAAAGTACTATGTCGAATGACCCTGAAAGATAAAAAAACGTGCGTTAGTCATGAGAACAACGGAATCACACATAAGCACCCATGAGCCCCATCCCACTCACCATGTTCAACTAACCACCGGACGTTGAATGTGAAACACACGCTTAAACACGTAACACATTAAAACTATTCATTGAGCTTTTAACAGCTTATGTTAGTAATCAACTGAGGACTACAAAAAACCAGGGATGGAACATGCGGGCTTACACCGAATTACTTCCTGTAAGGATATTATCGTTCACCAACAAATATACTACACATTCAGCCAGGTCAAATGGTTAGCGTAAAAGATAACAGGACATCAGCTAATCCTACCGAGTGTCGTGCATTCAGTTTGTTGTTGATTGAATGAAGGCATCTCTCGCTGTTGTTGTTGTATGGATACAGTGTGCGTTGTCAACTCCTTTCGCCTAGGGCCTGGTAACAGGGCGTCCATAAAATGACAACGAGAACCCCGTGGTTGAGGACCTCCAGTAATTGGTATTGCACTCGATTCTGCCGGAGACCAAAGTTTGTGCTATTGTGGGAGAACTTACTATTCTCCCGAAGCCTATATGATAAATGTCGTGCTAATTTTTCGGAAATTGACGCGACTTCAACATCTTCCTGGATTCCTATCCAATCTATCCTTTTTCAAAGGGATAGAGGAAACGGTGAACTGCCGACTCAGGCCTGTAGTGGGATAATTCCACCAAATCCTAAGTCCTGCGGAATCGAAGGTAGCCGATGTTGAGATAAGAGCATTTTATAGTATATAAAGCCGGAAAATCGTACGTTCTAACACTAACTCACTATCCCCTTAACCACAAATGTGGGGCTATTCTCTTAGGGAGTGAAGAGCATCACTAGGCTCATAATCTTCTCTCAGAAAACCACAGCCCAAATTTCATTAGCATCCAAAAGACCTGCTTATACCGCAGTACCGACGTACAGCAAACCAGGTCAGCGATTTGAAGCACTCTCATATCTATCGGTTAGTCACATTTGTGATCGGAACTCTTGAAACACTATACTACTTGCGAACTCTATCTTCCCTATGAAGTTCGGTCGGCAAAACATAGACACCGCGTACATGCCTTGTGGGGGAACATGCGCCATGACTTTGCGTTTATTTCGGTTCATCTGACACGACATCTAGGTACCTTAATTGTGTATTAGTGGCGACCCTGGGTGACATTCTGAATAACTCAAAAATAGGACAGATGCACTAATTTGCCTGACTCCCGAGCCATACCACCTGTAGTTTATAGGTAATTAATTATCATTATCACAGCAAGTAGACGGACAATTTCCAACCACTAATTATAACATTGTTGGCTTATTCGCATTCGATGAGTTGCTCGAGAGGAACCAGTACACGACAAAATGAGCTTCAGGTCAGTCACCATCTCGAAAGTCCTGACTAAAAAAAATTACGTTTTATAAGCGAAGCCTGGTTAAGACACTAATACCCAACCCTTCTTCCATATATATATATATATATATATATATATATGGTTGGAATCGACTTATTTCAGCATGACCTCAACTCTGTCCCGCTACTTTACCTCACTGTGTTCTGTAAAAAACCGCGTATGAAGTGAAGTGTATATTAGACTACAACATTAATGAATTTCCAACATGAATATTTTAATGTTTAAAGTCATATGTACGTTAATAAAAGTATTTGCACGACGCACCAGTAAGGAATCCCTGAAAAATACCAGGATATTTAGTCCTCATCTGAAGAGGACGACTCCGAAGGGCTGGCATTTCCTGGACGGTGAATTACGGCTGATGTTATTCGGGGTCCTTTTGAGCTGCCGTACCCACGAACTGGCTCTCCTCTGGCTGGGCTGCGATCTCGTCTTTGATCTGTTCGTTCGAAGCGGTCATTTCTACCAAACTCGCGTGACCCGCCTCGATTAGCTGGAGCACCTTGGAAACGGTTTACATCTCTTTCGCCTCTGCCTGAATTGTAGTCGAACTGCCTACCTGAAACCACAAAAAGATAATAGTTACACTGCCTGTCACACTGAAACAACTAAACCAGTTAGTTGCCTGACAAAATAAACTTACCTTGTCTGTTGTAGTCACGTTGACCACTATAATCACGCTGATTGTACTCACGTTGATTGCCATCTCTCTGGTTACCGTTTTCACGCTGGTTGGTGTGATCTCGATTATTAAAATTCCGCTGATTGTAGTCGCGTTGATTACGTTGACCGTATTCTCTTTGGTCACGATTATAAGAGCGCTGATTGTTATAACTCGGTTGTTGATTGTGCTCCTGGTCTATAATGAACATCACATACAATTTATGGGCAATCCTTTACCTCTCTGGATTCGTCCACGTACAGGCCTACCGCCCATCATCTTATTTCCGCAGGAAGTAAGAGCGGCGCTGCACTGGTCGGAATTCGAGAAAGTCACGTGAGCAACGCTACAAACAAATGAAAGTTCAAAAGTAAAATTTACCCTCTGGAACGTCCCTGCTCGTCTAACGAAAGTGCCACTCGGAGGGCTTCTGGGAACTCGCGCATAATATCTCTTTCAGATGCTGTATAGGGAAGATTTGACACGGTGAGTGTACAAGAGGCGTTGGAAGAACTTTCACTATCAGTTCTACTATGCGGATCATACGTGGGCTGGCTGTACTCATTATCGGCATGTGAACGTCTGAAATCCCTGGAATTGCCTCCATAATGCTGGCTGACATTTAAATTTTCTGACGAACTGGAATGATAATCTGAAATATATAAACTGAGTGATTATTAAAGAGCTTTTGAAATAAGTCCAGTGATTGTACGAGTTTTAATGACCAACTCACCTCCGTTCAGTTCCGCATGCAGCAGCTGTCCACCAATTTCTTTTCCTTGAAGACATTCATCGTAGGCTTGTTGACAGTCGCGAGCATTGTTGAATTGCAAGATGCACATGCTGTTTCACATATGAAACAGAAAAAGAGAGCAAATATGGAGCGATCAATGGGAAGCGAATAAGCTTTACTAAAGACCCCGTAGGCAGATCTTTCGAGTAACAAATTTCTACCTCCATCGAAAGTGTTCGGGTCGACCTTCCTGCATTTCACTCCATCGCAAATAGTACCACCTGCTCACATTACAGGAATGGGTCAATGTGGCACACCTGCGTCGCCAGTAACAAAAGGTAGAAAGGTAAAAGATCGGAGTCAGTTCTTGTTAACGTACTAACGGAACATCATTAAAATGCCTAGGTTCACCTTTGGACATTTAACTTGCCAAACAAAAATATCGCAGACTGTCGAACCTACTGTGGTACTGCTCATAAAACGGAGTGAATTAGATCTCTTATAATGTCGTTAAATGTGCGGTAAGAAATCAATTTGTAGGGAGCAAACTGTACTCACCCTTTAGATTGCGAAGACACAGAATGACTTCGTACGAAGTTGACTGACCTGGCCGAAGGGAATACCGACTGAACTTCTGTTTCATCTGCCGAGGTGGGTAGATTGTATACGGCCAAAGAAGTGGCTTGACCAGACTGGTATGCTTGTGTCAGTGACATGCTTTTTTAACTAAAAACAGAAGTACTCATCAAGGACGGAAAACAAACTGTCAGAGAAATCAGATTCATTTACAAAGATTTATTTGCAATTTGGATTTACAGAGCAATCAAGTTTTTTAATCAGAACCACCGCGTTTTGACCAGCCCCCACGGTTACCACCACGACCTCGAGATCGACCACCACGACCACGAAACGAGTTGCGCTTGAAATCACCACCAAATTTGTGCTGCGCTTTGAAGTTGCTTTGATCTCCTGAACGGTTGTCTGCTTTCGGAAATCCACCAGTTTTTTTGTCGTGTAAGCCAGGAAACTGCTTCTTCTCCTTGCCTTTAGGTGAGACCATATCAACGTCCTCGTCACTTTCGTCTTCACTTCCGTCCTCTTCTTCCTCGCTTTCATCTTCACTTTCATCGTCTTCGTCACTGTCGTCGCCATCTTCACTTGTACCTTCGTCCTCTTCGTCGTCATTCTCATCCTCAATGTCATCTGCGTCATTGACTTCCTCTGCCTTTGAAACTTTGTGAGCAGCCTTGACCTTCGAAACACCTACTTCTACAGCTATAATGAACACCAAAAACCTTTAGAAAGACAGCACAATTGCGAACAAACATACAAAACAAACCGAAACAAACTCACGTTTAGCTTTCTTCTCAGATGGTCCAGAATGCTTCTGTTGATTGTTAGCACAATCATCAACATAGACATCTAAAGGAGAAATACGGGTTAGTTTAGTGAGGCAAAAACTCGAAAGATTGAAGCGAAAATCCTAGTAAGTTGGTGTCTGGATGACATGTAATGTGAGCAAATCAAAACTTTCGAGGTAAAATTTCAATTATCATTTTACATACCTTTTAAAAATATTGTCACGCGGCGACCTTTCAGAGTTGCGTTTGAGGAAATTGCATTGTTACAATCTGCAGCGGTTTCAAACTCGACAGTCATGGATCTGAAACAAGGCAATACACTGTCAGACGTTACGGACAAACTGATCCAATCAAAATGAGATAAAGGCAGTAACAATTTAGTTTCAAAGGCAACTATCAAGATATCAATATACTTACGCGCTCTGGTTCCCTGTAGTTGTATCCCGTGACACTGAAACGACGCCACCAAATAATCCTTTGATGTCTGATTCTTTCGTATCAGCTGGAAAACCCCAAACGATTGCAGTCTTGAGCTCTGGTCCTCCTGTTAATGCCAGTTTCAGCTGTTTACCGGCATGGAACTTTGGCTGTGAGACAGCAGCCTTTCGGACTTCCAAGGAAGGAAATTTAAGAAATGCCTTTCTGTATGAAGAAGAAAATGTAAGATTGATAGTAACTGACGCTAAATAACTTAAGTGAGTGACTAGTTTACGAAATGTTTGGACCAATTCGCCGAAAACTAACTTTACTCACCGTTTTTTCTGAATCCACTGAACGTCTAAACATGTCGGGAATAGCTTACGCAACTGGTTCGGATGACCATCCCAATTTGAAACTGCGACTCTTACGGAACCATCAGGACCAGCTCCTAAAGGATGCCAGTTAAACGACTACTGACAATCAATACTTACGAGGCTGTTGGTCTTTAGCGAAGTTAGCTTTGAACAGTTGACCTTCCACAGTTAAAGAACTGAAAATTTGGTGAGCTTGCTTAGCCACATCAATAGAGGAGAAGGACATAAATGCACTATTGATTTTAGGGTTTTTATTCAGCAAATTTAGGGAAACAGGTTGACAGTTGTTGGGGAGTTGACTTTTTAGTTGTTCCTGGAATAATACAATGTTTAGAAAGAAGTAACTTACAATTGTCATGGATTTTGGAATTCCACCTACGAACAAAGTTTTCGTGGGTTGCATTCCTTTATTAGCGTCCTCGACTCTCTCTACAGGTATTACTTCGAGCTCCTTCCCGTGAAACATCAACTTTCCTGACTTTAATCGACTTTTGAAAATGCTTATATTAGCGATGGTAGCCATTATGGGTGCTGGTTCCATCCTGCTTATGTTGGTCACTGGGCTAATTTTGGAAAGGAATTCTTTCAAACTATTCAAGTTATCAGGTCCATGTAGTATGAGGACCTTGCCAGATGTACTGCTTTTTGGCTCAGACCCCTCAGTCACTTTACTCGGTATGCTTGATACCTTATTTTCCGTCGATTTCTCATTGTTCAACATCGAACCATGTTTTTGGACAGCCTTTGACCCAACCAGGTTGTTGATGGCTTTACCTTTCTCAGCATTCAGTTTTGAATTGTCTTTATTAATTTCTTCCTCTCCTTCACTAGATTCTTCCTCGTTATCGTCGTCGTCTTCCTCCTCACAGTCATCGTCATCGTCTTCCTCCTCACTATCATCGTCGTCATCTTCCTCTTCGCTTTCGTCATCGTCATCATCTTCATTCTCTTCGTCCTCCTCCTCCTCTTCTTCCGCACTATCATTTTCTTCGTCATCATCCTCTTCATCTTCACTGACAAGATCTTTTTTCTGCAGTTCCATCCCCTTTTCAGTCGCCAGCTTCAGTTTCTATGAATTTGTTTGGAACAAAAATCGTTTGATCAGGTTATAAGACTTATATACTCTGAAGCTTTTAAAAATTAGTTGATTTCGCTTGTGGCAAATCTGTGCCCCAATAAACTAGTCGAGATTTCGAACCGATCTGTTTTTGTGGTAGGACGATTCGACTGCTGCCGGCTTACATGAACTATCTGGCTTGTGCATTACCATGTTAAGTTGGACAAGAAAATAAACTAGTACTAATTACTAGAAAGTCTAATATAGAACCCGATATGCATGAGATTGGAACTTGAGGCTCAGATGGGACACCACCCTCTCCATATATATAAGTAAAAACTAATTCATATCTTCACCCAACTATCAGTCCCGGTTCAGCTACACTAAACAGGAAACTTGATAGTCATTCATCACGAAGTAGGAAGACCATAAGTACAAACAACAAAACTCAAGGTAAACGTTGATCATTGTTTGAGCTTGTAACCATGTGAACGCCCACTGTCATTAATGTGTTTATACATGCTAAGTGCATGTCACTGGTCGAATATAAGAGTAACCCACAACAACTCACATAGTCTGACTAGGCTTCCCACAAGAAGATCATGAAAGGTAGTGACAAGCACAACCTATATGGAATCAGACTGTAAACACAGTACTATATAATCAATAGACTCCAAGGCTGGCAGACAATCGGGACTTTATGACAATATCCTTACATACTGAGCAAACTTCTGGTGCGTAACAAGACAAAAACAACTCGGAATATATGGAGTGAAGATATTAGCTTATTTACCTTATGTGACATCCTTAGTTCACCAGCATCACCGCCAAACGCACCTGTCTCAACCTCTACATCACTATCGTCGCTGCCGACAGGGACTGGACGCTTTGATCCACCTCTCAATGGAGTGCCTTTGCCGTTGACAAGATGCTTGTTTTTTGATTCCGGAGTAGCACTAGGCTTTGGAGATTTAATAGTTGAATTATTTACTAAAACCAAACAATCTGGTAAGTAAATTCGAAAACAGAAAATGGGACGTAAACCAAAGAGTATTACTTACACAACTGCTTCGAACGACCCTGAAAGATAAAAAAACGTGCGTTAGTCATGAGAACAACGGAATCACACATAAGCACCCATGAGCCCCATCCCACTCACCATGTTCAACTAACCACCGGACGTTGAATGTGAAACACACGCTTAAACACGTAACACATTAAAACTATTCATTGAGCTTTTAACAGCTTATGTTAGTAATCAACTGAGGACTACAAAAAACCAGGGATGGAACATGCGGGCTTACACCGAATTACTTCCTGTAAGGATATTATCGTTCACCAACAAATATACTACACATTCAGCCAGGTCAAATGGTTAGCGTAAAAGATAACAGGACATCAGCTAATCCTACCGAGTGTCGTGCATTCAGTTTGTTGTTGATTGAATGAAGGCATCTCTCGCTGTTGTTGTTGTATGGATACAGTGTGCGTTGTCAACTCCTTTCGCCTAGGGCCTGGTAACAGGGCGTCCATAAAATGACAACGAGAACCCCGTGGTTGAGGACCTCCAGTAATTGGTATTGCACTCGATTCTGCCGGAGACCAAAGTTTGTGCTATTGTGGGAGAACTTACTATTCTCCCGAAGCCTATATGATAAATGTCGTGCTAATTTTTCGGAAATTGACGCGACTTCAACATCTTCCTGGATTCCTATCCAATCTATCCTTTTTCAAAGGGATAGAGGAAACGGTGAACTGCCGACTCAGGCCTGTAGTGGGATAATTCCACCAAATCCTAAGTCCTGCGGAATCGAAGGTAGCCGATGTTGAGATAAGAGCATTTTATAGTATATAAAGCCGGAAAATCGTACGTTCTAACACTAACTCACTATCCCCTTAACCACAAATGTGGGGCTATTCTCTTAGGGAGTGAAGAGCATCACTAGGCTCATAATCTTCTCTCAGAAAACCACAGCCCAAATTTCATTAGCATCCAAAAGACCTGCTTATACCGCAGTACCGACGTACAGCAAACCAGGTCAGCGATTTGAAGCACTCTCATATCTATCGGTTAGTCACATTTGTGATCGGAACTCTTGAAACACTATACTACTTGCGAACTCTATCTTCCCTATGAAGTTCGGTCGGCAAAACATAGACACCGCGTACATGCCTTGTGGGGGAACATGCGCCATGACTTTGCGTTTATTTCGGTTCATCTGACACGACATCTAGGTACCTTAATTGTGTATTAGTGGCGACCCTGGGTGACATTCTGAATAACTCAAAAATAGGACAGATGCACTAATTTGCCTGACTCCCGAGCCATACCACCTGTAGTTTATAGGTAATTAATTATCATTATCACAGCAAGTAGACGGACAATTTCCAACCACTAATTATAACATTGTTGGCTTATTCGCATTCGATGAGTTGCTCGAGAGGAACCAGTACACGACAAAATGAGCTTCAGGTCAGTCACCATCTCGAAAGTCCTGACTAAAAAAAATTACGTTTTATAAGCGAAGCCTGGTTAAGACACTAATACCCAACCCTTCTTCCATATATATATATATATATATATATATATATGGTTGGAATCGACTTATTTCAGCATGACCTCAACTCTGTCCCGCTACTTTACCTCACTGTGTTCTGTAAAAAACCGCGTATGAAGTGAAGTGTATATTAGACTACAACATTAATGAATTTCCAACATGAATATTTTAATGTTTAAAGTCATATGTACGTTAATAAAAGTATTTGCACGACGCACCAGTAAGGAATCCCTGAAAAATACCAGGATATTTAGTCCTCATCTGAAGAGGACGACTCCGAAGGGCTGGCATTTCCTGGACGGTGAATTACGGCTGATGTTATTCGGGGTCCTTTTGAGCTGCCGTACCCACGAACTGGCTCTCCTCTGGCTGGGCTGCGATCTCGTCTTTGATCTGTTCGTTCGAAGCGGTCATTTCTACCAAACTCGCGTGACCCGCCTCGATTAGCTGGAGCACCTTGGAAACGGTTTACATCTCTTTCGCCTCTGCCTGAATTGTAGTCGAACTGCCTACCTGAAACCACAAAAAGATAATAGTTACACTGCCTGTCACACTGAAACAACTAAACCAGTTAGTTGCCTGACAAAATAAACTTACCTTGTCTGTTGTAGTCACGTTGACCACTATAATCACGCTGATTGTACTTGTAGTGGCATTGGACAATAGCCACACAATCCACAAAGCTGTGAACACGAAACTACTCCAAAAACATACGGTGAGTTCCAGCTATAAGTTTTCTGCAATCATAAGTTCATTTTAGATGGCACACACAATTATCTGGATTCATTCAGTTGTTCTGATCAGAGCGAGTCCCAAAGACCTCAACAGCATCAAGCACCCTGGAAGTGATTGCCATACTGTATGTTTTATTCTGGATGCTTTTGGATCATTACTACTCCTCACGAATGGCGTTATATATGTCGTCCACTGAATACTCTAATCTTCAAAAATAATCCAGGCGAGTTCAACTATTTTACTGGATGATTTTTTTTTACTTAACATGTATATGTTTTCCGGTTCCTTTTGCTATATATTTGTAAGTGTCCCTAGGCTAAATGCAGTAACTTCTTATGGAATGTTTATAACGCATCATATTCCTGCCTGAAGTTTCATAAGCAGTCTTAACTTTAAAATTATTTTCTGGTCATGTTCATTATTTTTAAATTGTCATATCCGTCAACAACCTGCATGTTAACCTGACCCATACATACGTTACACTATATCTTCATGTCTTCTAAATTTAGGAATCATCCGAATCGCCTTTAACATTTATTAATAAACCCATCATAGTCGTTGTTGCTAATCGTATTTGGGTTTATTGCTTGGTTTATCACATTAGCAGCCTAAAATGCGAACATAGTTTAGATAATAAGATTAAACATTTAGGTACTATCAACTGCACTAGTAACATAACTAAATCCCCAGGTAGCTGTTGGCTAAACAAACGTTTAAAATCAAAACTCAGTAGCCTACTAGAATGAACACTAAACGAATATTTCTGAATTGAAATTTATAATTAAATTAGGCGTCTCGGATTCTTTAACGTTAGAAATTTCTGATGATTTTGAATCACCTAAAGCAACAATACCTATTTTTCCACTGACTAATCCTTAATCAACACTATAACTAGTTAAATATAATAGTTTCAGGATATCGTCATAAAGCATTGTCATAACTTGACAATCACGTAATATGACTGATAAAATTAATGAAACTAGTAACGAAATCGGTCAACAAATTGACTTATAATTACCATTAAATGGTGTTGTTTTCTTGGTATCTTTATCCATCACAGATGATTACAGTATGTTTCTCTATCAGTTGCTCATTCAGTAAATATCTCAAAACCTTGTCAGTCTAATTGATGGTTTAGCGACACAATCATGCATGCAAATAATCAGTATAAGCAGTCGAGCAAATCTCCTGCAAAAAAACTGAAAACATCAATGTCGAATTTACCCCAACACTGACTAAGGTTCAAACCATTATCATAGACATGAGTTGGGAGTATACTCCCCCTGGTTACAACTTATGTTCTCCCTGATAATCACATAAGCATCACTCACTATTAATCATCTTGTAAAAACTTATTTAGCTAAATACATTTTGCAGCACCACATCACTTCGTAAAATGACACAGGTCTAACTGATTTTAATAACTTGTAACCACTATATCTCAATTAAATCGTGTTCCGCCTTATGATAAACTGCATACTTGCAACTAACTTGTATGTCCAATCACTCGGCAAGTATAAATACAAGTAAATAGTCTGCCACAGATCAGAACATTTAGTCTAGAGAATGTCTCTTACGAATACGCTCATGTTTAACGATTTGTTCCTAGCTATCTGTCCAAAATTCATATAATCATCACTCACGTATTTAAATTTTATTTTGATAACCATTCATGTGTATTAGTAGTATTACCAAATTCTATCACGGTCAAGTAAAAATGAGGTTGAGAAAATCTCCCCGTAACTAAATAAACCGTATCAAACTAACTAGAACACTAGTTGGAATTCTTTACCATGGTAATACTTTTGTTCCTTCAGTTAGCCTACTGATACAGATGCAATTGGAATTCAACTCTTATGGACAACTTACCGGCATAATCGTTATCCGATTTCATAATTTAAACCAAAACTAATACTAATATTAACATTTCTACAATATTCATTATTTTAATATTTCTAAACACAAAATAATTACTGCCTATAAGTTAATTTATTAACACGCATCGTTTTATTATTATTATTGTAATCCCATTTTTTATAGTTCAAATAATCTTCAACCAAATTTTCATTTTAAGCGTGTTAATCATGAAAGCAGATATTTTAAGATTATTACATGTATTTCCCGACCAGATTCTGCCGCTCTCTTTTTGATTTATCTTTCAGCTTACCAATACCCGGAGGATTCTTATTATCCTGGGTAACCTCCGGCGCGCGACGATCCCATCCAATTTGGTATCGAACCAACATCACGTTGATTCTGGTGGGAGAGTAGTGTAGTGGCATTGGACAATAGCCACACAATCCACAAAGCTGTGAACACGAGACTACTCAGAAAATAGATATTCAATATTTAACTCGGGGAAATACCTAACAATGAAGAAGGCGCGAACAATGAATGGAATGGACTGGGGTTGATCGAGTGGCATGGCTCGGCCATGCAGGCGTGGTCCCTGCTGGATGTTATCCTATATCTCATTCATATTAAATATATTGTTCTTTCTCTATCCTAACCTTGTTCCTCATCAGGTATTGGTAATTGATACGATACAGTGAGTTGGTGTAGTCAATGGTGTGACTTCCACGTAAGATCTTATAGATTAGGCAGTTATATCATGACGAATCTACAATTTTGGGATTAGGTCTATTATTAGAGCAGTACTAATATCATATTAGACCATAGTTCTACATACTCACGTTGATTGCCATCTCTCTGGTTACCGTTTTCACGCTGGTTGGTGTGATCTCGATTATTAAAATTCCGCTGATTGTAGTCGCGTTGATTACGTTGACCGTATTCTCTTTGGTCACGATTATAAGAGCGCTGATTGTTATAACTCGGTTGTTGATTGTGCTCCTGGTCTATAATGAACATCACATACAATTTATGGGCAATCCTTTACCTCTCTGGATTCGTCCACGTACAGGCCTACCGCCCATCATCTTATTTCCGCAGGAAGTAAGAGCGGCGCTGCACTGGTCGGAATTCGAGAAAGTCACGTGAGCAACGCTACAAACAAATGAAAGTTCAAAAGTAAAATTTACCCTCTGGAACGTCCCTGCTCGTCTAACGAAAGTGCCACTCGGAGGGCTTCTGGGAACTCGCGCATAATATCTCTTTCAGATGCTGTATAGGGAAGATTTGACACGGTGAGTGTACAAGAGGCGTTGGAAGAACTTTCACTATCAGTTCTACTATGCGGATCATACGTGGGCTGGCTGTACTCATTATCGGCATGTGAACGTCTGAAATCCCTGGAATTGCCTCCATAATGCTGGCTGACATTTAAATTTTCTGACGAACTGGAATGATAATCTGAAATATATAAACTGAGTGATTATTAAAGAGCTTTTGAAATAAGTCCAGTGATTGTACGAGTTTTAATGACCAACTCACCTCCGTTCAGTTCCGCATGCAGCAGCTGTCCACCAATTTCTTTTCCTTGAAGACATTCATCGTAGGCTTGTTGACAGTCGCGAGCATTGTTGAATTGCAAGATGCACATGCTGTTTCACATATGAAACAGAAAAAGAGAGCAAATATGGAGCGATCAATGGGAAGCGAATAAGCTTTACTAAAGACCCCGTAGGCAGATCTTTCGAGTAACAAATTTCTACCTCCATCGAAAGTGTTCGGGTCGACCTTCCTGCATTTCACTCCATCGCAAATAGTACCACCTGCTCACATTACAGGAATGGGTCAATGTGGCACACCTGCGTCGCCAGTAACAAAAGGTAGAAAGGTAAAAGATCGGAGTCAGTTCTTGTTAACGTACTAACGGAACATCATTAAAATGCCTAGGTTCACCTTTGGACATTTAACTTGCCAAACAAAAATATCGCAGACTGTCGAACCTACTGTGGTACTGCTCATAAAACGGAGTGAATTAGATCTCTTATAATGTCGTTAAATGTGCGGTAAGAAATCAATTTGTAGGGAGCAAACTGTACTCACCCTTTAGATTGCGAAGACACAGAATGACTTCGTACGAAGTTGACTGACCTGGCCGAAGGGAATACCGACTGAACTTCTGTTTCATCTGCCGAGGTGGGTAGATTGTATACGGCCAAAGAAGTGGCTTGACCAGACTGGTATGCTTGTGTCAGTGACATGCTTTTTTAACTAAAAACAGAAGTACTCATCAAGGACGGAAAACAAACTGTCAGAGAAATCAGATTCATTTACAAAGATTTATTTGCAATTTGGATTTACAGAGCAATCAAGTTTTTTAATCAGAACCACCGCGTTTTGACCAGCCCCCACGGTTACCACCACGACCACGGAAAGATTGGCCACCACGACCGTGAGGCGACTGACCACCGCGGCCTCGAGATCGACCACCACGACCACGAAACGAGTTGCGCTTGAAATCACCACCAAATTTGTGCTGCGCTTTGAAGTTGCTTTGATCTCCTGAACGGTTGTCTGCTTTCGGAAATCCACCAGTTTTTTTGTCGTGTAAGCCAGGAAACTGCTTCTTCTCCTTGCCTTTAGGTGAGACCATATCAACGTCCTCGTCACTTTCGTCTTCACTTCCGTCCTCTTCTTCCTCGCTTTCATCTTCACTTTCATCGTCTTCGTCACTGTCGTCGCCATCTTCACTTGTACCTTCGTCCTCTTCGTCGTCATTCTCATCCTCAATGTCATCTGCGTCATTGACTTCCTCTGCCTTTGAAACTTTGTGAGCAGCCTTGACCTTCGAAACACCTACTTCTACAGCTATAATGAACACCAAAAACCTTTAGAAAGACAGCACAATTGCGAACAAACATACAAAACAAACCGAAACAAACTCACGTTTAGCTTTCTTCTCAGATGGTCCAGAATGCTTCTGTTGATTGTTAGCACAATCATCAACATAGACATCTAAAGGAGAAATACGGGTTAGTTTAGTGAGGCAAAAACTCGAAAGATTGAAGCGAAAATCCTAGTAAGTTGGTGTCTGGATGACATGTAATGTGAGCAAATCAAAACTTTCGAGGTAAAATTTCAATTATCATTTTACATACCTTTTAAAAATATTGTCACGCGGCGACCTTTCAGAGTTGCGTTTGAGGAAATTGCATTGTTACAATCTGCAGCGGTTTCAAACTCGACAGTCATGGATCTGAAACAAGGCAATACACTGTCAGACGTTACGGACAAACTGATCCAATCAAAATGAGATAAAGGCAGTAACAATTTAGTTTCAAAGGCAACTATCAAGATATCAATATACTTACGCGCTCTGGTTCCCTGTAGTTGTATCCCGTGACACTGAAACGACGCCACCAAATAATCCTTTGATGTCTGATTCTTTCGTATCAGCTGGAAAACCCCAAACGATTGCAGTCTTGAGCTCTGGTCCTCCTGTTAATGCCAGTTTCAGCTGTTTACCGGCATGGAACTTTGGCTGTGAGACAGCAGCCTTTCGGACTTCCAAGGAAGGAAATTTAAGAAATGCCTTTCTGTATGAAGAAGAAAATGTAAGATTGATAGTAACTGACGCTAAATAACTTAAGTGAGTGACTAGTTTACGAAATGTTTGGACCAATTCGCCGAAAACTAACTTTACTCACCGTTTTTTCTGAATCCACTGAACGTCTAAACATGTCGGGAATAGCTTACGCAACTGGTTCGGATGACCATCCCAATTTGAAACTGCGACTCTTACGGAACCATCAGGACCAGCTCCTAAAGGATGCCAGTTAAACGACTACTGACAATCAATACTTACGAGGCTGTTGGTCTTTAGCGAAGTTAGCTTTGAACAGTTGACCTTCCACAGTTAAAGAACTGAAAATTTGGTGAGCTTGCTTAGCCACATCAATAGAGGAGAAGGACATAAATGCACTATTGATTTTAGGGTTTTTATTCAGCAAATTTAGGGAAACAGGTTGACAGTTGTTGGGGAGTTGACTTTTTAGTTGTTCCTGGAATAATACAATGTTTAGAAAGAAGTAACTTACAATTGTCATGGATTTTGGAATTCCACCTACGAACAAAGTTTTCGTGGGTTGCATTCCTTTATTAGCGTCCTCGACTCTCTCTACAGGTATTACTTCGAGCTCCTTCCCGTGAAACATCAACTTTCCTGACTTTAATCGACTTTTGAAAATGCTTATATTAGCGATGGTAGCCATTATGGGTGCTGGTTCCATCCTGCTTATGTTGGTCACTGGGCTAATTTTGGAAAGGAATTCTTTCAAACTATTCAAGTTATCAGGTCCATGTAGTATGAGGACCTTGCCAGATGTACTGCTTTTTGGCTCAGACCCCTCAGTCACTTTACTCGGTATGCTTGATACCTTATTTTCCGTCGATTTCTCATTGTTCAACATCGAACCATGTTTTTGGACAGCCTTTGACCCAACCAGGTTGTTGATGGCTTTACCTTTCTCAGCATTCAGTTTTGAATTGTCTTTATTAATTTCTTCCTCTCCTTCACTAGATTCTTCCTCGTTATCGTCGTCGTCGTCCTCCGCACTACCGTCATCATTATTATCATCATCATTTCCATTTTCTCCGTGAAACTAAATAGTATTTCTCACCAGTAAGAATAATCTTAATTGTTTACTTTTCCTATTCTGTCTGTTCCTACCTTTTTGACACCTTCCAAATCAATTCCACATTGTTCATGTGTTGTTAGGTGGGTTTTTGTTACTGGTATTACATCCGATTGGGCTGGGTATATCTGCCTTACTAGCTCTATTTCTTATTTAACAGGTTTTGGGTGTTTGTGTGACAGATCGAAAGCCCGTTTAAATGATTTCGTCCTTCACCGATAGTGGCCTCGGTATCATCTTCTTCTGAGATCCCATAGTTCGAAAATTTACAATCTTTAGGTTCTTTTCCTTACGTCTGTGCACGTTTAGCGAGATGTCTCCGAAGATATACTGAAGCATTAGCTGATTTCGTATCTCTTTTATGAACCCAATGTCTTGCTAAAACGAGTTTTATGTTCTGAGCCCTCATTCTCCTTGATTACATAAAAAATATCTAACCTGTCACTATGACCAGTCTTTAGTTTCTCAGCTACGTTTGGGGGTCTGACTTTTCTTTAGCGACGTTAGATCGTTTCATATTCTTTATCGTGCAGTTAAACTGGCTAGTATCCTGTGGTTACCTTGTAAACCCTCTCATTACTTGAATGATGCTATCGTCTGTGTGAAGATGTCCTGGTCATTTAGTGCCTGATAGTACTATCACCCGTTACACCGCTCTAATTGACGAACTTAAAGCCAGCTACATCATATGTCACGAATGGTTTTCATTCAATAGATAATTGATTCATTTATACGTATATGGTATATGCCAAATAGTTATTGTAAAAGATACTATGATAATTAGAAGTATTCGAATTATTGTGTCAACTGAGAATTTCTGAAATTGCGTAATTTTCAGCCGGTAGTGTTGTGACTTTAAATGAGGCTATTTATTTATTTGTCAACCAAAATACGACTGACTTACTCATTTACTGTACTAAACCACTGACGTCCGACCGATCTGATCAGTTTGGCGTCCTTATTGGTTATTTGCTCGCCTAGCCCGTCCAGCTGAGTCCAGAACATCAACAAGAGACCCCGCTATGCGAATCATTTATTTCAAACATACTTGATTCACATACCAACCAAATAAACCGCATCACACCATAAAATAGGAAATAACGTTCGTACACAATAGAGCTAAAAATTGGCTGTGAACGTGGGAGACAGTAATCAATAAACTGAGTACAACTTAAGAACAGTAAATCGTATAACAACAAATTATGTCAAAACGAAGCTTATAACAAGGGGAATATAGATATACATAATTTAGTTACTGAATAGTTATAAAATAGGGATATATATCATATTAGTTCGTTAATAGTTCTCGGAAGTTACTCGTAGTTTATTCTTCGCTAGGATATAACAGACAGAACTATATGAACACATATCAACATATTATATTTGTAATTAATAATCAGTGTGCAATCAAGTACGAAGGAATAATTAGTTTGTACAAATACAACATCCGCCTCAGCTTAAATGGGAACCCAAACTTTTGCAATCGATTGTGCTTCTCATTAAATTTATCATGTGTTTGTCTGAAGTAGATTGTATGATCTAGATTATTCTTATTAGTATTAGAACTAACAGACGAAATTGTAACATCCTCACCTGGTTCCTGGAATTGTATTCACTCAATAGGTCGGTTGTATGTATTTAAATCATTGAAGATCATTTGAACAGTACTATGCAGCTTCCACAAACTCCAAACACAAAGAAAGAGAATCCTTCCTTCGATAGCTTTTCAGTAGTCTCATTCTTTACAGAATGTTTAGCACTTCTATACTACAGTAGAAATGTGTCTACTCCCTTCTCAAATTAATCAAATCTTCAAGCAGCATTGAAGTCACCAAAGGTTTTTAATGTCCTATAGAAATATCTTTCCCAACCATTAAAACGAGGGTGCCCGGGAGCAATAAACAGATGTTTGCACCCTATACTATTCAACCAGATTGTGATCGTGTCTGCAGCGAAATGAGGACCATATTCAGTCACTTATGCCACAAGTACCTCTTACCAACTAAAAACGTCCCCGAATTCCTGATTTTGAAATTCAGAATTTGGTGAAGTTGGCAAAAGACCTCAGCCGTCTTGAAAAAATCAATGGCTACAAGTGCACAGTATTTGCGAGAAATTGACCAAAAAGGTTTGCATGAATTCTCTACCAGGCCTCCGACGATACTGGTCATGGAGTCCACTTCGAAGAATGATTTTTTGACTTATGATATCTTCCACAATTGTTTGCTGAACGACTTATATCTGCATTTATCTCTGCTCATCAAAATGTAAGCCTTGCCAAGAACTTCATTTTCTCAACACCTAAATGTTCACTACGAAGATCTTCAAGGACGGAGTTACGAAATGAAGGAGGAATAACAACACGATCATTCAAGCACAAAATGAAAGATCCATTTTGAATGCTTTGTGTGTTTGTGAAAATCCCTCCATGTATATACTTGCACTTTGTTCCTATTGATCCCCTTAGTTGTACAATCCACGTTTGAGATTTGATTCTCAACTTTGTGGTGTAGCAGTGAGTATACATCAAAGGTATTGACGTATTTCTCTTGATGAAATCTGGACGTCTCATCGGTAAAGGTTGCACCAATAAACAGTCTGCAGTATCGACAGGTTTACCTTGTAATGAATGTCGAGAAATGTAGTCAAAGTGTTGAATTTGGCACTACTGTGCTGAATAGAATAGCTATAACCACTCAAAGTAATACTCCATCGTTGAACCGTAGCGGCTGAGGAGACTGCTAGGAATTTCGCAAGATGGTAAATGAACTTTGAAGCTTCATGGTCCATAAAATAGTGAATTCCTTCCATATAGATATTTATGAAGTCTTTTAACAGCTCAAAACACAGACAATGCTTCTCGCTGAGTTTGTGAATAACTTTGTCCAGTAACAGTAAGTTTGCGTAAAACACAGATAACCAATCTATCTTCCTGCTACAAAAGTGAACCAACATCCACAGGTGATTCACCAATAGTAAACACAGAGTGTAAACTAAGGGAGTAAGTTTGAAGAACGGCATCAGTTTTAAGAAACTTTAGTAGACTTCGTAATCATGACTTTTGTTCCTCACTCCATTTAAACGGATTGGATATAAGATTTGAAACAAACAATTAGCATGATAAGGAAAACTAGGAATCAAACGGTAATATTACTGAAGTGCACCCACTAAAGTTCATAAGTTTTTAAGATCTTCCGTAGATGGTGCATTTGTCAGTGGGAATAGTCACTTCATATTTGGTCTAAAACCGTTACCGTCAACCAGGTATTCAAGACACTCAAAACTAGATACACAAAATGAACACCAGTTTAGATTTGCTTAATTAATTTTCCCAATTAAACGATACAACAAAGCAATAAGTCTCTGATCATGAGCTACTTTATCAAAAATATGAATAATAATATCATCCTGATAGACTTTAACACCGTCATGCACGTTTGCTTCAACAAACGGGGGTTCAGTGTTGATCTGTCGTCACAACATATTCTAGGGAGCTTGCCATCAAAATTCAAGCACGTAACGATAGAAATACCCCACGCTAAAGAATAGATCGGTTCATTTGTTCTTTTTGTGCACAAATAATTAAATGTCTTAAATACTGCTTCTCAAAGACCATATGGAATTATTCGTATTTTAAGGCAAACTGGACCACCCTTTACTTAAAGTTCTAAAATCTGAATTCTCATCCCTTCACTGCACGTAACACACGCATATATCAAATCTTTAGTTAAAGTATCAATCCTTTTTAAAAACTAATAAACACAACTTTTGCTTTAGGCTTTTCCTAAATTTAAACCCAGTATTACTAACTGAAAGCCCACGAAGCATGTATGAAGAACTATTATTTATAGTTAGAAATTCAGTTTCGTTGTATAGGTAATTTTTGTCCAGCAATCTTCAATAATAAGGCTACAGTGGGTCATACTACAACACTATAATCTGGAGATTTCAGGTTCTTGAACGAAATAATGGACTCTGTACTGCCTGTGTCATTGAATGAACCAAGCGGCCTGTATAACAGCTTCTGATTATGGATATTAGGTTTCGAAATCGTGGACAAAAATTAATGATAGTTAGAAACACCCGACTCAACAGAATCAGAGCTACGGGGTTTATCATAACTAGTGTCAAAGTGAACAGTAGCTCTACAAACCGACTTGTTGTGTCCCAGTTTACTGAACTTAAAGCATTTGGCTTGACTAATGACACGTGAATTACGAAAGTGATATTTACCACGGGATAAACATTCTCAAAACCTGTGCCCACATCTGTCATGGTCAATTCTTTTCGTTTGTTTCTATTTGAAATTCGTTTTTTCGATGTCTCCCTCCAATTCCCAGAGCGATTTTATTTATTCAGCATCTTTTCCCTTTCCCTTCAAGACTCCGAGTTGTGGTTTGCCTCGCGACACATTCTGATTGTTTCTACACTGTACGTCCTATCCGCCCTCCAACGTCGTTTCCTAATACCTTCTTTGGTTCAGGAAACCGAACACAATTATAGACCACACACAAACCAGATGGTGATTACAGGTAGAAACATTATTTTCGCTGCACTTCACATTCAAATGAATCACACAATAATCTTGCAACGGTCGCTCTTATTTCTTTCACACTCCATCACTTAAATATTCCGCTTTATTCTCATTTTGCGCATTTTAGTTTACAACATATGTAGCAGCAGTTAATATCAGTACAATCCTAGTCACAAGAACGATGCCTCCCATTAAAAAGGTAGTATTTTACAGATGTCAAAATCCTGCATTTTAATCATAAGATTAATCCCTTAGTTCCTCTAAAAAGATGCTTGGAAGTGAATATAATTAGTTTTTTTAGTTAACATATTCTGAAGCAATTTGAATACTTTGTGCATTATATTTATCAAGATTATATTAACAATGATTATAATGGAACATCCAGAAAATGAACGAGATGGTGAAAAAAAGTTGCAATTATTTTATATAAAAAAAGTGTTAGCAACTTTTTATTTTGGAACAGCACGTAAACAATGCGTAAACCAGAGTAAGGATGAAAGTAAAACAACACCACCGCATTGATGCAATGATCCCAATGAAGCTGGTACATAACATAATAAAGTTGTTATGCCAAGTAATGATTGTCCTAACACAGCACCAAAAACCAAGTGTGCAGCATTCCTAATACGTGGTCCTGTACATGCTACACCTAAACGCATGACATTTGCCCATAATAAACCTGTGGTTAAAACTGTTGTATAAGCTAGCATTCGATGAGTAAATTGAACTGTAGTTGGATTGTCCAAAAAGTTCCTCACAGTAGAACCATATCGAGATACAATTAAATCATCAGGAATCCACTTATCAGCCATTTTTGGCCATGAATTATAGATTAATCCTGCATCAAGACCAGCCACAAAAGCACCTGAATAGTAGTAAAAAAAATTTACCACCAATTCAACAAAGAGTCAATCAAATGTTTACCGAAAGCAGAAAATATAGAACAACAACATAACTAATATCAAAAACTTAACTGGAAATCCCAATGACAATAGACAATGTTTCAAAAAAGAACATATCCAATCTTTAAAATCTTAGTAAAATTCCAGTGTGTGTCATATGTCTCCTTTTCGGAGTTAGAAGTGATAGTTTCTTTGAAGAATAAAATTTTAAATATTGGCAATGCATATACACCAGATAAGCATAGAGTTCACTTGATGATCAAGCCTGATAAGTGATGTGTGGTAATGAAAGTAAAATATGATTGGTTGTTAAACGTGAACAAACAACCACAGCATACGGACTAGTAAATATATATGATTTTCCTCCTTATCATTGATTTCTAGTTCGGACTCACTGTGTGTGACTGCTTGTAATTATTAATCTGGTTCTCTATTCTGGGTTGTGAATCCTAGTTCTGATATAACGTGATTAGTCTTATTAACGTATTATCGTAATGCACGTGTAACAGAGTAAAATGTTGTAAACCATCCGTTATATCAGTAAGGTCTTACGTTAGGTCATCAATGCTACTATTAATGATTTCTTTTCGTTTTCAAAATATTTGTGAAATGACATACAGTCATGTGAGACTTATACCAGGCACAAATATGAACCGATTCAAGTTACCACATAACATTAGCAATATCAATCCTAATCCCAAAATAGAAGTGTGATGTGTGCTACTTATATAGACATAAGTAGAATATACGCTAGTCGGGACTAGAATGTCTGGCAACAGAAACTCGAGGGGGAAAGAACGGGAACAGAAAGCAATTGGTATGGAAATGCGGAACATTGAAGTCCCAGACGATTGACTGATATTTGTAAAAGGAACAGTCAAGCTTGTGACAATTGATTGACATCTTGCGAATTGAGTATTCACTGTAGAGTTGTCAGATTTTACTGAGGTATTCTGTAATTTTATGTTCAAAAACATTCGATTGTTACCACTTGTGTTTTCGTTCACCACAGTAGTACTAACAATATTAGTAGGAATAGAAAAGATTAGGTATTGGGTGAAAAAAATAAAGTAAAATGTCACTATCTGACAACTCAAAGCAAAATAATGGTAACGGAAATCTCGACCTTTTCAAATATTTAAACGATATAACAGAGCCTATTATTCAATCTATCAATAGTCCGATGATTTATTTGAGTTTAACTCTGAAGAAAGAAAAAGGGATGTATCCTAATTGGACTATGCTTCTTAACTCATTATAGCCTCTTCAGTCAGTGGTTACGAAAGTAGAACCGGGCATAAAAGTGTTTGCCCAAGTTGATATATCATATCAGTACAGTGAGTGATAAAAAACCAATAAGATCTATACAAAACAGCAATGGGTAACAGTAGCATTGGTGACAGTAAAAAAGGTTAAACATAGCAGATATGGCTCGCAAAAATGATTAAAATCAAGGAATTAGAATCACAGGATATCATTACTCATGATTTGTGATAAGTCTTGCTAAATGAGTGCTCGATCCGACTTACTAGACGTTTCTAGTAACTCCAGGCTAAATTGACACGATTACTTGAAAACAAGAGGAAAGGCGCGAAGTGCGAAAAAAACTTTACCTCAAGGTTAGTTTGTGTACGGAAAAACGAGGATATTTATAATACTACAGATGATTGTACGGTTTTGAAATTTTCCGGAACCAAAGCAAATATAGTAGCAAAAGAGGTAAATATCCAATCAGAAACATAACACTTGGCAATTTACATTCTAGATGTTTCTGGGAAGCTTCTATTCAACGTTGACTGAATAAAATGGTTCCCAGTGTTTTCTGAACCCATATGGACTTTTCCGAGGAATACTTTGCAACTCCCCAAAAATGCATCCATCTATTTATTGAAACATAAGGAAGTGACAAATATATGTGTGCCACACAATAAAAATAAGGTAGTGGAAGGATAGATGAAGGAAAGTGAGCATAATAAAAAGAACGATAATTGGAAATTAGTGTATGAAAGTGAAATAATAATAATAATAATAATAATAATAATAATAATAATAATGGGGCAGATCAGTTGGAAAAATACAACCAGAAATAACTCTTTTAGTTGAAGAAGTTACTCTCACTGACCTCTTTCAACGTTCACAAACCAATAAAGATAGGACAACAGATAGGGTTGGCTTTGTCTCTAGAGAGTCTCAACATCGACATATGTTGTCTATCCGAGACCCAAGATCCTAGTAAACTACTACAAATTCACTCTCTATCTGTTGCTTCGAAAAACTTGTTTTACGCACGTCTATCCAGGGACCCTGTGGAATCGTCGTCTGCTTTTGTTGGCGTTGGTGTCACAACAAGCGCTAGAGCTGAAGCATCACCAATCGATCGGATCTCCATTAACAGCCGGTTATGTGCTGTTAGATTAGAAAGCCCCATGAAAATGAGAAGAAATCGGCGTGAAAAACAATGTCTTTTCATTGTCTCTGCCTACGCTCTGACAGACTGCAGCCCGGATGTGATCAAGAATGAGTTCTACCACCAGTTAAGTGATCAACAGAGAGCGAGTTTTTATTTCATTCCTGTACATTAATCTCTAATGATTGTTGTTCTTATTTTTTATTATACTCACTTTCCTTCCTCTATCCTTCTACAACTTCATTTTTACTGTGTGGCACATATATATGTGGTACTCCCTTACGCCAATGCTTATATGTTTAAACAAATAATAGTGTATAACACACTTCTAGGGCGCACCCTTCTTCAAAAGACAACCCAATAGAACACTTCTGACACTGAGTGGTTTTGAACCAAGGTCATATCTGGTCATCAGCCATAAACTATGGTTATCTCTCCGACAACAACCAGATAGTTTTATCCCCCTAAGATAGCTCAGAAAAAAAACCGGCAGTCTGTGAATCCATGTAGTGATGCAACGTTTTTGTTTGACTGACCCTAAATTCCTTCCGATTTGCTCTTACTCCTATTATTCTAAAACTAATAACTGCGAGGTTTAACACGATCACACCAAGTTATTAGTTGACTAAAACTGAATACATAAACATTCTTGAACAGCTAAATATTCTTGTGCTATAGATATGAAATATTTGCAAGCAATTTCTGTCCAAATATACATGCGAACTGAAAAATAAATAAATAAAAGCTTTTTCTTACCATAAATTATGGTTGTAAACGTTAGAGCTTTACCCATATGACCATATGCTTTAAGTCGTTTGACGCCGCTGAATGGTTTAACCTGTTGAAAGAGTTTATAAATTAAGACATACTCATAAAAACCGATAGTTTGAATACTACTTAAGCATTTGTATTAAAATTCAGAAGTGAACTATTAATTTAGCTTTGCTTTTTATATTCAGTGAAATCAGATGCTAAATTCGATTGCAAACTGTTATAAAAAAAGAATCACCCTGAAAGTTAAGTCAAAGCTCAGAAACCTACCGGCAATCTATGAATTTTTGTAGTGATGCCACATCTTCCCTTTGCTTTATTGTCGCAATGGGGTTAGGTTGAACTTCTCAAACTTACCAACTTCAGTTAAGCTTTTCCACAGATGACATTCTGGAAACAGGTCACGGTGGAGTAAATTTGATGCCTGGAGAAGGACTTTCCGATCGTGAGTATGCCAATTTTATCTTATTGTATGGTTTTACTCATCAAATGAAAATCGCAGATAATCAGTCGGCAACAAGTGTCTGTATGTATGGTTTGTATTTTTTAGCTGCTAAATGAAAAATATTTTTACGGGAATAACAAGAGCGGATTCCAACACTCGTTATGGTGAGCTGTTCGAAGTGGTGGAAAAGTTCATTCGTTTGGAGAGTTGGGTGATTGCTGATGGTCAGGCGATTGGTTAGATCGACTTACTTATGGGGAAAGTCTGGCCGGATGCGATCAAAAATGAGTTTAAACGCCAATTAACTGTCCTTCTACAAAAAGTGTGTTCAACGGATATTGTGGTACTTAGCTGAGACTTGAATTTTCAGGTCCAGCGACTGGGCACAGAAAAGAGTCGTTTGGGTAACTGATGGGGACTTTTTGGTCACAGATCAAATAGCGGTGATCGTCTACCACATCTGTGCTCAGACTAAAACCTGATTCTGGCTAGCACTAACAACCGGCACAGTCATCACTGATGTGCTAAATGGCCTCCTCGCTCTTCATCTCAGAGCTGGATTCAGATTTATCACATCGCGATCAGCTAACTCTGGCATGGTTGTGTACAAACCTTCCGCTCGTTATGGAGTACCTATCTGGACTCTGATCAGACCCACTCTTGTTTGCACTAACCTCACCTTACTTTTCAGTGGACAACAGATTCATCATCCTAAGCCGATCGATATCAGTAAACTGGTTGCAGCTTCTGTTGCAACCAAATATCAAACCGAGCTAGGTCCAAGGTTAGCTAACATCCCACCGAAAAGTATCGATCGGCATTGATTGCAATCGTATGACGCCATGAAAGTGGAGAGTTAGTCGTTTGCGGCTTTGCGAAATATCTCGGTTATAGGTACTGGGTTCCATCAGTTTGCTTACAATTCAGTGAAGCCTGTCGATCTACTCCGTACGACCGCGAGTTTGACTGCAAACGAAGACTGTTACGTAATGAAACTGAGCAAATCATGCTTAAGGATCGAGAAACCTGATATTTGGAGCCGGCCAATGAGCTGGAAGCAGCAGCTGTGTCTGATAACCGACGGAAGCTCTTCTAACCCATCTGAGTCACTGGTAGCAAAAAGTCTGATGTGAGTGAAACAATCTGTAAAGATTGATTTTTTTCTGGCCGAGGATATATCGATATTTTCACCTTACGCCAAAAGTTAGAGCACTGTTATACTCACTACAGGAGAACAATTTTGTTTCCTCACATTAGGGCCGCCTTCGACCCGTTGGACAGTACTGTTTTCTGAGATTCTCTATTGAAGAACAACGTGCCTGAAAAGAGTATTAACATCTTAAAAGCTCCATATACAAACACCTCAGACACAGTGAGGGCACACAACCATCTCTTTCCATTCAAGCATTGAAGTAAGGCAGAATTACTCATCACAACACTCCTCTCCAACTTTGCCATCGGTGATGTTCAGGAAACAGCTTTGATGGATCCAGGTAATTGTGCTGTGGATCTGTTGCCTTGAGAAAGACTTTTCGACCTTGAGTATGCAGATGATATTGTCTTACTATACAATAATACCCAAGCCATGCAGTCCGCACTTAATAAGTTGGTCATCAGTGTCCGTTGATACGGTATATGCTTTGCACCTTCCAAGTTCAAAGTACTTTTACGAGACTGATAAGACCCTGATCCTGCGCCCACTTTGGGTAGTGAGCAGATAGTAGTCAAGAAGTTCATGTCTTTGAGTAGCTTCATGAGTGCTGATGTTAGTGTGAGTGATGAGATCAGTGTACGTATAGTGAAAGGTAGAGCAGCTTATGCCAATCTGGGCCATCTTTGGCGCTGTAAAAGGTCGGATCTACAACGTGTCGGTGAGAGCAGTTTTGTTCTATGCTTGTGAAACCTGGCCTCTCCGGGCTGAAAATGTTAGACGACTTCCTGTGTCCGATCATCGTTGTCTCCGAAGGAGTGCTGACGTCCAGTGGCAACACCGTGTTAGTAATGCAGAGATTCAGCATCATGTGTTTGGGTAGAATGACGATGATTCAGTAGATGTTACCATCTTTATACACCGACTTCAGTGTCTTAGACATGTTTTACGAATGTAGTCCCAGAGAAATTCACGTCGTGCATTATTTGCCGATGTTTGAACTGTTTGGTAAAAGCGGAGACGTGGTCAGTGTATGATATGGTGTCGTGGTATGAAAGAAAGCAGTACAGGACTGGCTTCTATTGGTCCTTCATGATTCCCTGGTTGGGGTCCCAGAGATCGTGCAACACAATGGCTAGAGAAGTTGTCAGGCATGGCCAGTGGCGATGCTACCGTAAATATCTTCTACTTCATTCATAAAAGTGAACATAAACTCTTTGATCAAAATAATTCCCACAGTAGACTGTTGCTGATGGTATCCAACCAACGAACATTGAGTATCTTGCGTAGACAATTGTTCATAAATACTTGTACCTTTTTGATGATTGTTCTGGTAGTTCTCGAAGTTTCATCTCCGTACAGTAGAACTGTCTTGATGTTCGTATTGAAGATCTTATCTTTGATGTTGGCTGACAGTTGTCTCGGGTTCCATGTTTTTCAACTGCAGAAATGTCACCCTTTGTCAATGTTTGCCTTCACATCTGCATCAGATGCTGCTTGTTAATCGATGGTGCTTCACAGATACATGAATGTTTCCACCTCTTCTAGAGTTTCTCCATCAAGTGTGGTTGGTTTGGTGTTCTCTGTGTTGTATTTGAGGAGTTTGCTTTTTCCCTTGTGTATGTTGAGGCCTACTGATGTAGAGACTTATGGTACACTGTTTTTCTTGACCTGCACTTAATAATGATAAGTTACTATCAAATAACAGTCTGTTACATGAGGCATGCTAGCTTGTTGGCGTATGTGGGCTAGAATAGCTGTGTCATCTGCAAAGACTGAATAGTTTAGTTACATCCAATCTTTACATTGTATTCCGTGATTCATCTCAGATATGGAGGTTAAAGATGCCACAAGTATTTAGAGTTTGACGACGCCTCATCCAGTAACGCGTTTTATAGTCGAAACGTTATAACTCAGTCAAATCAAAAGTTAGAAGCGAAGAGGTTCGAAGTTATATTTGATAGGCTATCGATATATCAAGAATTGATCAATCTAAGCTGACTAGCGGTGGTAGATGTGGAGCATGGCGTACCCACTCGTGATCTGGCGCTAATAATTGGTTGGGTGCCTTACGGTAGAAGTGTGTACGGTGAAACGAATAAGGTTAAGATCATTGTTGAAGACCTAAAGAACTATTAATTTTGGAGATTTAATCACCACTACAAAGATGTTACTTATGGCGGATATTTGACTGAATTCGGAATGTGGGGTCCAAGTAGCAAGTTCTTGTTTTAAATATGAAGCGAATGTTTTAGAATGGGTTTAAAGCTGAGGAATTAATTTATTAAATGATCATTCTGGCCGGATTTATAAAGATAGAAATCTCTTTAAAATGTGGAAAATCCTGTAGTGCTAAGTTATCAGTGTAAAAAGTCGTTTGGTTCATGTTATTTGATCACGATGATACTGCCTCGTGCACATGTTAATGTGTGCCAATACCATAGTGCCAGTTTGACCTTCGCGATGACCTTCATGGCATGGTTTAGATTCGTCTTGTTGTCATGATTTACCTTTGCAAGCATTGCTTATATTGTTGCCCTAAGACTTTTATACCCAGGAATATCTTTTTAAGCAGACGCTCTAGTCGACTAAATTGAACACTGTCTGTCTGTACATGACTTTTTGAATGGGTAACTGAGAGCGCGCTGCTGGTATATTTGTGCAAAAACTAACAATCGTAAATCGTTACAGTGGGATTTTATTTGATACCGGAGTTGGCGTAGAAGTATTAGTTACTGGCTTATGCACATGTACCAAATATGGTTAACTCCCATATTAGTCATCGAATTCTTACAATTCGAATTGTAGGGATCCCTACAAGTTTTCCAAGCACAAAGCCTGAGGTAGTAAATTTTATTTTTGCGAAAATGTCTAAACGATTTTTTTGATTACATAAATGTCAATTCTAGCTAAAACATAGGTCATGGCATAGACTTTAAAAAACGTGATCCCCATTCGTTCTGCCACCATACAATCCTGTTTTAACACCTACACTCATCAGGGTAGCGAGACTATCATTTATGGACGAACCGATCAGGTATAAGATGAAAGGTCTCGGATTTCAGCGCGAAATTCACCCATCTATTTGGCTAAATAGAGTTTTGGCTTTATAGCTGATGTCAGTTCGTGATTAAAACCCTAAATGTAATTCCTAACTCTAACCATCAACTGTAAATTATAATTCTAATTCCTCACACTGGTTTATAACCCCCATTCGGTCCTCGTTATTAGGTGAAGACTCTCAAGGTCAGTTTAGCATCACTCAAAGGTCGTCCATAAATTATAGTCTCACTATGAGTTTTATATGTAAATGTTAAAGTACACTTGCTTGTATAACAACATTATCTAGCTGAAGACTAGACATATTGAAATGTGTTCTCATATGGCCATTGCAAATTACTGATGCAACCATGCGTGACTTCAAAGTATCACTGTCATGCAACTAAGTAGTCAATCAGTCAGCTACAACGTAAAACCGGGCATATATATGCATCAGTTCAAGTTGATACAGGGAGAAAGAATTAGTTCATATGAAGAAAGATGTGAAGTAATCCTAACTTCACGGTTTAAGAGAAGACAAAGAGTGTATACACTTACTCCATTGTTACCGATTCTGAGCCATGTCTCACAGAATCTCCAATCGCTGATTACGATAGTCGCGCGGACCCAACCAAGTGGTTTGCATCTACCAACATGGCTTTGACCAGAAGTTAATGACTTGAAGTACGGATGCCACATTTTGGTTTGGTGACCCCTGAATTTCTTCCATCCGTTCCCAGCACTAGCCAGCATTGCACGCCATGGTAATCGGTGGTTAGGCATGCGAAATACGTGGCCCAACCATCTCGGGTCATGAGGATTTACAATCATCAACTGATTTACCACCATTCCATAACACCCTGTGTCTACCCGCACTATTACTTACCCGATGATCCCAGAAGATGCGAGCAATATTTCGAAAACATCTGTGGTCAAATACAAGTGATTAACGTGTAAAGTAAAACGAGTTGCTACGCAGTAGACTCGCCCTTTTATTGATAGACGGATATCTCGCTTTCACCATAGGTGACATAAGTCGGCAAAAGCCAAACGAGCCCTTCGAGTCCGTGCTGAGACTTCATCAGACACCGACCCATTAGGGCTGATCAGAAATCAAGATAAGTGAAGTTGTCGACGCGTCCAACTACTTCACTCCCTATCCTTAAGTCAGGTGTTGACGCAGACCAGTCCTGAAGCAACAGCTTGCATTTAGAGGGGGAGAAGCACATCCCAAACACCCTGGCATTGTTACTCAGTACTACCAAAAGACTGCATTTTATCAGCGTCTTCACCAAACAGGACTATGTCATTTGCGTATTCTAGGTCGGTGAATAGTCATCCTGATAGGAAATCAATGCCCAAAAATTCAATTGATGAGTGCGTTATTTCCATCAGTAGTTTTATGATGAAGTTAAACAAAAATGGAGAAAGTGGACAACTTAGGCCCAAACCACTTGAGGTTACAAAAGTAGATGACAGTTCGCCATAAGCCCTGATTCGACTGGTAATGTCCGAATAAAGAGCCTTCACAAGGTTTATGTACTTCTGAAGTACACCCTTCAATGACAGGCACTGCCACAGAACCTCTCGGTCTTCAGAGTCAAGTCAACAAAAACCACCATTATCGGACACCGATAAGTATGCCTGCGTTCTAAAACCTGATGAATGGTGAATATGTGGTCGATACGGCCACGACCAGGTCTAAAGCGAGCCTGACTTTCTTATGTTTGCAGTTCACAAGTCTTTGTTGAGGCTAGTATTTTAGATGCTATATTAGTCAAACTAATCCCTCTATGATTGTCACAGGATGATTTTGACCCCTTCCCTTATATTTCGACAATCATCGATTGCGACCAGTCAGATAAGATCACGTCCAACTCCTAGATTTTAGCTAAAATATTAGTCGACCTAATCGCTAAAACTAAATCACCATCTTCAAAGACATCTGGAGTCTCCATCTGGACCAGCTGTTCTTCCTCGTTTCAGATTAGCTATAGCTTTTTGAACTTTAATCCGAGTCGGGGACCTGTCTGAATGGTTGTTTGGAAATGGTAGGTAATTGCAGAGTACCTGAAGGCCGACTGAACTGCTTCTTAAAGTGTTCCGCCTGTCCTTCTACACGTCTGGGCTGTGAGTAGATAAGTGTCGTCTTTTTGCGAGATCGTCTCACTTACACTTGACTTCTTAATTCCAGTTTCTTTTATTAGTCTGAAAAGCTGTCTTGTGTTACCTACAGCTGCTGCCTTTTCTATCTCTTTCGTTGCCCACCACAGCTCGCGGTCGTTCCCTAGATATTTGGTTAACCTAGATCTGATTTGTTTTCGCCCTTCAGCGTGTTCGGAGCCTGATGGGACGAGTTTACGAAAGTCTCTCTATGCAATAGATGTAGCAGAAATACACTGGTTGTTCGTGACCCTTTGGTTCAAATCACCAATAGATGTCGCTGCTGTTTCCACAGCTGTTTATATGTCTTCCCAAGCAACATCTGGTTCAGCCTCATTTTCAGAACTATCTAGGTGTGACCTCAGTTGTTTCTGGAACCTACTTTTGGTTTTCTCGTCACTCAATTCAATTCCAATGGGTCTTTTTAGTGTGGCTTTTCTGCGTCCAGTGAGGTGCAAGCAGATGCATGCCCGTATTAGGGCGTGGTCGGAGTCGAAGCAGGTACTCCAGAATGAGCGACAATCTTCTATCGACCCTCTCCAACGATGACTGATGGCAATATGATCTATTTGAGTCAATCGTTGGTTTGGTGCAAGAGGTCTCCAAGTTAGACGATGTCTCTCCTTATGCTTAAAATTAGTACTTGCTAAAACTAAACAATTGTCTGAACACATTCGCAGCAGACGGTCACCGTTATATGTTCGCTGAGCCAGAATACCAAAATACCCACTGAAATATCTATCTGTTGGGTTTAAACTACCTAGCTGGGCATTAAATTCACCTGCTACGAGCACTATGTTTGAGTGTTTAGCTTTTTGAAGAAGTTCTGTTAAAGTCATCTTTCACTTCATCCAGGTTGCAGTCAGTGGGAGCATAGGCAGAAGCGACGAAAAGGCAACGACGTGTGTCCATATCCTTCCGAGTTCTTACGGAGCCGTTTAGCTGAACAGTACATAAACGACTGTTATTGGGGATCCACTCTATTGGTGCTTGTTCTGCCGTCGTACTTAGTGCTATGCGTACACCTGCCAGTCCACAAGAGCTAGCCATCGGGTCTCCATATACGCGGCGGGTGTATCTCGTCGGCTCCTCGTTCTGGCTAGATTTATTTATTTATTTGAACACATAAACATTGGTACAAGGGAACACCAAATACAATGCTCCACACAGTAATAATGAAGCCAGTAGCAGTTATCATTGGTTTGGAATCAGCGTTTTCTAATTTCCATAGGTGGATTCTCCATATCCATCAACCCGGTTAAGGCACCGGACATTCACTTTTCCTCCTCCCAATTTCGTAAACAACACCCCTACTGCGAGAAGGCAGTGAGTAGGACTTCCTTATCAGTGGCTGTATACGCGTAGCCATGTTGAGAGCATTTCGAGAGGGTGAACTAACTCTCTCCACCCTTGGTCGTGTCAGAGCGTTTGGGGGTTGAGCCAAGGAGGTCTGTTGACCGATTTGACATAGAGTATGTACGCTGAAGGTTTGGAGCGAGTTTCCAGTAGACCTGGGACATTACTTCTCGCACTATAATCGTTGGCCATGGTGACACTTGAAGAGGAAGTATAGAGCTGATAGTCTAGACAGGAGGAATAATAGGAATTGAAGAGGGAGATTGATTATAAATGCAGTGATCTTGAGTACTGTTGGAGGTATGTGAAGTGGTTATCACTTTTCCGTTGCCCACACCGTGTAAGGGTTCTTCTAAAGGTATCTGAAAAGGAAATTGCATTAGGATTGGTCTAAATGACTGAAGTGCCCAAGGGACAACTGCTTGAGGCCGGTCACACCCGCCCTTTTTGTGGGTAAGTTTTGTGTCCGTTCCGTACTTGTTGAAACCTTACCGTCGGAGACAAATATCCGTGGCATAAGGCGAGGTGTGCATTTTTAGGGTCGATATTTTCTAACCTCACCCTTCCTTTGCAGGAAGGCACCATGGCTGTTATGCTGGTTGTCTGAAGGAAACACCTTGCTGTCACATCTCTGTACAGTCAACAGTGCGACTTCACTTTTAGCCTTACCGTCCTTCAACCAATCTAATTGGCATGGTAGAACCTTGAGAAATGGTTGTTCTAGCCAGTATAGCCCGGTTGGTTAATTGCGATAGACAAGCCCGACCACCACGTCAATGTAGCAGCAACGGTCGGGACGTAATTGGGTAACGTCATGCGCAATGTTGACGTTAGACCTTCCAAGAGCATTGAGCATGTAAAGTAGGTCAGCCGACAAGGCTTCGGACCTGCGGCCGTTTAGGTAATCAAACTATCCACCAGTGTATGTCGAACCACTTTTATTTTGAGATTCTTAGTATTGGTTCCGGGAGACTATGGATACCTCTTTGTTTCTACATGTTGAGTTTGAAAAAAACGGGTTTACCGAATATGTGACCTATCAGTTGGAACTAGCGTTTAATTCACTAGAGAACAACTCCATTTCTATCATTTACCTAATATTATGTATTCATGTTTCATTAATGGTAGATGAATATCCCACACTTGGGTTCACATTTGCATTTCAAGTCGCTATTTAAATTCTGGCAAAATCGGACTTCGATAACCTCCAATCATATTTCATTTTGCAAAATTATAGATTACATTTTAAAAACTGGGGAATGGTTTTCGGCTCATGCTTAGGATCTGCGGCAGTAAGAACTCTTCGACCTGTTGGATTTCATGTGTATTTTCAAAGGTACCTGCTTGCCTCATCCAAATCAGCAGCAGTATCCGTCCCAGTCAGTCAGACAACAACTCAGGCCGCATCAGTTGTTGGTCGATGGCTCTTGGGTCTTTCTGGCATGACTTTTGGTGCTATTTTGCTTGGTGGAGTTACAAGGTACGTATTATTTCTATTCGTAAACTATTTACTTAAGATTGACCGAGTCTGGACTCTCAATGGTTGACTGGCATCCGTTTAAGGAGGTACCTCCTTTCAGTGAAGAACATTGGCGACTAGAATTCGAAAAATACAAGAAGTTTCCAGAACATGAACAGCAAGTTTAGATTTCTTTACCTACGTCCTGTTCAGTTATGTAAAGGAGCGTGGTGAAATGTCGATCACTCAATTCAAATTTATATGGTATATGGAATTTATTCACCGAATGTGGGGTCGGACGATCGGTGCTGCTTTTGTTTTTCCAGCAATCTATTTTTTCTATAGAGGTTATTTCTCTTCCGTCATGAAATCTCGTGTTTTTATTTATGGGGGACTAATTGGATTTCAGGTAGTAATTTACTTGTTACCTTGTTATTATATGATTTGGAAGGTCTCTGAATTATGTTGTGCCCTACAAGCACGTACTCCTAGTTGGATTTTCATAGGTATGAAAGTCAATAAGTGTAAACCCAGTGTCTTTGGTTTGTATTGACTGCTCCCACCTATTAAGGAAATACATTTTCATATATCCCGTAGAGTATGGTTTAGTCTATCGTAAATAAAATTTAAAAACCGAATTTTTGTTTTGAGTTGTTTGTAGCGACCTAACAATGTTATTTTTATCATTTTAACTATATGGGACATAGTTACCACGGAAAAAAGAATAGAATCTTCCTATTAGTTTTTAAATAACTTGTCTTTGCTGGACGTAATTACTTACACCTGTTTCCCCTCATGGAGGAGCATAGGCCGCTCACCAGCATCCTCTAATCAACTCTGTCCTGGGCAATCCTTTCCAGTTGTTATTCATCCTATTCATGTCTGCTTCCAGTTCTCGGCGCGGTGTTCTTTGACCTTCCTCTTTTCCGTTTTCCTTCGGGATTCCAAGTTAGCGCTTGCCTAGTGATAGAGTTTAATGATTTCTTCAATTTGTGTCTTATCCAATCACTCAGTTAGCACGTATATGCATCGGCCCAAGTTGCCATACCGCATTAGCAAAGCAAGATGAACACCGCATTCATAGGAGTAGTTAATTCAGTGGTGGTAATATATAAAAGAAAAATTGCATAGAAGGATATAGTACAGGAAGAAAGAATTAGTACGTAGAAAGAAAGATATGAAGCGACTTTAATCTCTTAGTTTACGGGAAAACAGAGACTGTATACATCTACGCCATTTTGATAGGTTCTGAGCCATGTCACCAAGAGTCTCCAACCATTGGTTACGATAGTCACGTGGACCCCAACCAAGTAGTCTGCATCTCCCAACATGGTTCACACCAGAAGTTAGTGACTTCAAGCACTGATGCCACGTTTTGGTTTGACCACCCCTAAATTTCTTCCAACCATCCCGAACACCGGAAGATGGCTGAAAGCTGGTTTCTTTCCCACAGTAGACTGTTGCTGATGGTATCCAACCAACGAACATTGAGTATCTTGCGTAGACAATTGTTCATAAATACTTGTACCTTTTTGATGATTGTTCTGGTAGTTCTCGAAGTTTCATCTCCGTACAGTAGAACTGTCTTGATGTTCGTATTGAAGATCTTATCTTTGATGTTGGCTGACAGTTGTCTCGGGTTCCATGTTTTTCAACTGCAGAAATGTCACCCTTTGTCAATGTTTGCCTTCACATCTGCATCAGATGCTGCTTGTTAATCGATGGTGCTTCACAGATACATGAATGTTTCCACCTCTTCTAGAGTTTCTCCATCAAGTGTGGTTGGTTTGGTGTTCTCTGTGTTGTATTTGAGGAGTTTGCTTTTCCCCTTGTGTATGTTGAGGCCTACTGATGTAGAGACTTATGGTACACTGTTTTTCTTGACCTGCATCTGTTAGTGTGTGTGGTCTAGACTAGCTGTGTCATCTGCAAAGTCCAAATCGTTTAGTTGCATCCAATCTGTTCATTGTATTCCATGCTTCCCCTCAGATGTGGAGGTCTTCATAATCCAGTGAATCACTAGAAGAAAAAGAAGAGGGGAGAGTAAGCAGCATTGCCTGACTCATGTCCTCACTTGGAATACATTTGTCAGCTGTTATCCATGCACGACTTTGCAGTGTAGTCCGTCGTATGAATTCCATATGATGACCTGTTGTCGAGAGTTGTCTTAAATTCATTGAGTTTGCTAGAATCTTGTAGGGAGGCTGTATTGAACCTTTGTAATGATTTTCCATCAGTTGCCCAGCATTTCTTTGATTTCAGTTTCATCTTGGCCACAACCAGGTGATGATCTGAAGCTATGTGAGCTCCTCTTCTGGTTCTCACGTCTTCCACTGTCCCTCTAAATTCTTCATTGATACAAATGTGGTCGACCTGGTTCTTTTGAGTGTGTTCCACTAAGACCCACGCAACTTCATGTAAGCGTTTATGTGGGAATATTGTGCAGCCTATAACCATTTAATTGATTACACATAGATTTGCAAATCTCTCGCCATTTTCTTTCCTTTTTCCTAGTCCGTGTCATCCCATGATATTTTCCTAACCGTTGCTGTCCATTCCGACTTTGGCGTTTATATCTCCCATCAGAATTGTCAAGTTCTTTTCCTGGACACTTCGCTATGATCGATTGCAGCTTCTCGTAGAACTGATCGTTATTGTCGTCATTGCTATTATTGATGGGTTCATAACATTGGATAGCATTCATTGTGATTCCCTCCTTCTTTGTTTTCAAGGATGCTTTGATGATTTTGGGTCCATGAGATTCCCATCCTATAAGTGCATTTCGTACTTCTTTGAACAGTATCAGAGCAACTCCTCTTCGTGACCGGAGTAGAGCAGAATCTCTCCCGTACCTAACCTGTTCTGTTCAGCTTGAGTCCAATAGGTTTCGCTGATTCCGAGTACTGCCGATTTGTATCTTCTCATTTCGTTGCTATTTGACTGGTCCTCCCGGTTTATCACACTGTCCAAACGTTCCATGTATCTATAAAAAATTGTTGCTCTGGTTGTTCGAAGGGGCATCGGCTTCGTGACTTCCGAAGAAACTCGGCTGTCATCTCCAGGCGTCATAATTCTCCTGAATGAAGGTCCTTCAACTCAGACCGCAGAGTTTAAATGGTTTATTCTCGTCAGTGTTTTTGTAGCAAGGTTGTTTTATACGGGATGGGGTCTCAAAGTCTAGGCTTATCTGTTTCCAAAAATGCTGGTTTCTTTGATGAAACGAGTCAGTGTTGTTATAAACTTTAAGATACAATTATTTACACTACACAATTGTAAAATCTCACTACTCAATTTATTTACTTCGCATGGTCAATTTTTTCTCAGAAACTCATCAAAAATAAGGCTATTTAAAGGAGTGTTTTCAAGTGATATTTTAAAATTGTACGGCTACCTAGAAAATTTGAATAGTTCATAAGTAATAACAAGGGAATTCTCAATGTTTGGTGAAATTCGTAAACAATGAGTTACGCATGAGGATATAAATTTGACTATTACTGAAGGGTAGATAGCTTACGGTTGGTTTTTAAAAACAATGTTTGTACAGTCTTCGTTCATTAAGAGGAAGATGTTCATGACTTCAACTATGAACTGTTAAAAAGTTTACAGTCCGAGTCATATTTTTAAACGTTCGGACATGCATTATGTATGCTCATTCACCGACGTTCAATGGTAGTTGATGTAGAAGTAGGTTGGAGAAGTTAAGGGCAGCCAAACTAAGGTTTATCCAGTCCATTAAAACACTGACTGTTGGACTGATCCATATGGGTAGGTGTAGACTATCTAGTTGACGTCCGCGTGATCATCGCAACCACTTGTTAGAGACTCTGGATGGTATGACTCAGAATCGTTCTCAGTGGTGGAGGTTCATTCACTTTCTCTTCCCTTAGATCCTAAGTTCCTAAATTCCTCGCAAATTTTTATTATTTCACCTTGTTATAATCTCTCTTTCTTACGGTTATAACCCAGCTATTCCTATTGCTTAGTATTCTTGGACACCAAATCACTCGACAAGTCCCCAAATCAGAACACGGTTGAACAGGAAAGAGATTATATTCCGAATAACAAGGTTAGATGGAAGTAAGAAGCACAATAGGGAAAACGTTAGTATATTTATAGTTTTTACATGAGAAGATTCTAGAGTATTCTCCAAGTATCGACTAGTGCTGATTGGATAAGAATTAGCCAGTCAGCGTGCATTGAGCATGCTTTAATCCAGTATATGTCCCGCTAACACACCTACATATATTTTTTTTCGAACTGTATCCTTAATTGCTAAGATTCTGTATTATCATTAATACTGTTACTACCTCTACTACTTTGGAATTTGGCCTAATAATCTCTTCTCACTGTGTTAATGGGGTATGTCAACTCGAACCGATGTACACGTGGCGGTTTCTACGGTGCATTTGACTGACTGACCGGAACGTTGCTACTTCCTTAAGTTCGATAAAACCTAATAAATAGTATTATTATTACTATTTTCTGAAATTAATGAATAACTGCAATTGAACAAGTGCTGAAAAAACACTTATAGTCTCTCACATTCACTTCGAGTTGACGCAGGCAAATTTTGTAAGATCCAGATAGTCGGTTTTACTTGTCAAGTACTGTTCAAACTCCATCGCCTATCTTATATATGATATACGAGATGGTAAATAAGCCGAAAAATGTTTATAATTTATGATGAGCGGATAACCAATGTTATATGTCTAGTTAGTGGTTCCAAAGGGTTTATTTCCATCAAATGTCGTTCACTGAAACCAACCTAGCTGGTCCACACTTTATAATCCAGGGATTACAGTACCGATCATGATATTGATCACTTCAGTAGTATTTTTTTTAACAACTTTGGCTTTCATTCCACTACATAAGTTATGTCAAGTTTTGTCATAGTTTTGCCACCAAAATTCGATTAGAAGATTATATTATTCAGATAGTAAAATATGCTTCAGTTATAAACTTATAACAGGTTGCTTGCGGTTTTGGTTTGATAACATTAAATATTAAAATTAAAAGATGTTGCTGAACACTATAAAATTTGGTTTTTCATGCTTATTATGACGTATGCATGTTTTCACTGTAGGGTGTTTTGGGCTGGCTTATGGTACGCAGCGGTCTTAAAGAACCTAGACGACCGGCAGGTCTTCCACCAAATGAGAATTATATTGGTGTTCCGCGTGTGGATCATTATTGGCTTTGTGCTCACTTGATTTCAGCGATTATTCTATATTCATTACTTCTATGGGGTAGCTTTAACCATTTAGCTTCCCATTCTTTAGTAAGTGTGACTTTTTCGCTTATCTTTTAAAGTTACGTGTTAAGTAGTAATTTAAGAGTATGTTTGCCAATTTTAACTAGAACTCCTCATAACACCTGAACGTCAAAAAGGTTTGACTTTAGTTTTTAACCAACAAAGGCTCGATAATAATGATTCTAAGAAAGGTTAGGTTTCGTTTTTGATATGATTATGATTGTTGTGTAAAAATAGGGACTTTTGTATTCCATGTATTCATTTCTGATAAGGGTTAGAAATCAGTGTAAGATGGTTCTAATTATCAAATATAAATCTAAACCTATCTCTTAGTATGAATCAAATCAGAAATAACGGATAATCGTTTTATTTGGAGAAATTATGATGTATTTCTGTCACCTTACTTCCACTGAAAGCAAAGAAAACGAGTGGCTATGTTATACATATATTTTAACATAATAAAGTTACCAAATAGTGTTGTTATATCCTAGTAAAGATTACATTATGAGTAACGTCTGAGACCTATTAGTGGACTAATATTATTTATATATTCTTATGGTATAAATATTCAGTAACTAGATTATGTATATCTATATTCCCCTTGTTATAAGCTTTATTTTGACCTATATATTATTATTGTACGATTTACTGTTCTTAAGCTATGTTCAGTTTATTGACTACTGCCTCCCACGTTCACAGCCACTTTTTGGCTTTATTGTGTATGAACGTTATTTCCTATTTTATGGTGCGTTGCGGTCTGTTTGTTTGGTATATAAACCCAGTATGTCTGAAATAAATGATTTGCATAGTGGAGGCTGTTATTAGCATTCTGGACTCAGCTGGACGGGCTAGGCGGTCAATGGGTCAATAGGACGCTAGGCTGATCAGACTGGTTGAACGTCATTGGTTAGGTACAGTATAAGAGCGAATAAGTCGTATTTTGATTGGCGGATAGATTACGTGGTAACAAGCGGCTCATAAAGTCACAACAAGTGTGCCATGCAACTTCAAACGCTAATGAATTTCCTATAGATTTTTAAAAAAATCACATACATCTAAGCTTGATTTTAATACTAATTAGTGCGCGAAAGTCAAGTATCATCTAAGTTGTTTTAGTATTCAGGGAAATCCTTTCAAACCTTTTGTCGGAAAGACGCTTGGGGATTTGCGCGCACTAGATATTTCAGGTTAGCATGTTTTCAAGACTGAAGACTGCCACAATTATTTGTCTTTAATTAAACCACGCACATTATTTCCTTGAATGTACCGTCATTTCTATCTTGCTCCAGAAGTTGCCACCGCTAAAAAGTACTTACATTGCAGCTATTGTTTGATTGGGACTCCCGTCTGCACTACAGTATTTGAAACTGAGCATACACACCCCACAGTGATAAAAACTTATAGATTGCTTTTCTGTAAAATGGGGATTTTGAAGTGGTTAATGGTGTGATTTGCAATCAACCACTCCCAAAATAAAACGCAACCGTGAACCGAATTCGTTTTACAACAATTACACCTAAACACCATAGCTCAAAACTAACCAGAAGTGTTTTATTATGTATATTAAAACGGGGATACAAGGCATTAATTAAATGAATGGTTACGCATAACTGTTTTATACAATAAAGGAAACGTTAAAAACGGGGAAATATTAAAATTTTCTTGTCATTAATTTATGATAGTCTTCAAACCAATTTCGTTCACTTAGTAGATTAGTTTTGATTACTGCAAGTTAGAGAAAAGTTTAACCGTATATTTCTTTGAAATAAGGGATTTATTATATCATAACGTTTATTCTGTAACAGAACACAATACACTTCAAGGCTACCTCATTAGTTTTAAAATTATACATTATTGGTCAGTTATTTGAGTCAGGTACAATACGCCCTGATTTAACTTTCAGGGTGATTCTTTTTTTATAACAGTTTGCAATCGAATTTAGCATCTGATTTCACTGAATATAAAAAGCAAAGCTAAATTAATAGTTCACTTCTGAATTTTAATACAAATGCTTAAGTAGTATTCAAACTATCGGTTTTTATGAGTATGTCTTAATTTATAAACTCTTTCAACAGGTTAAACCATTCAGCGGCGTCAAACGACTTAAAGCATATGGTCATATGGGTAAAGCTCTAACGTTTACAACCATAATTTATGGTAAGAAAAAGCTTTTATTTATTTATTTTTCAGTTCGCATGTATATTTGGACAGAAATTGCTTGCAAATATTTCATATCTATAGCACAAGAATATTTAGCTGTTCAAGAATGTTTATGTATTCAGTTTTAGTCAACTAATAACTTGGTGTGATCGTGTTAAACCTCGCAGTTATTAGTTTTAGAATAATAGGAGTAAGAGCAAATCGGAAGGAATTTAGGGTCAGTCAAACAAAAACGTTGCATCACTACATGGATTCACAGACTGCCGGTTTTTTTCTGAGCTATCTTAGGGGGATAAAACTATCTGGTTGTTGTCGGAGAGATAACCATAGTTTATGGCTGATGACCAGATATGACCTTGGTTCAAAACCACTCAGTGTCAGAAGTGTTCTATTGGGTTGTCTTTTGAAGAAGGGTGCGCCCTAGAAGTGTGTTATACACTATTATTTGTTTAAACATATAAGCATTGGCGTAAGGGAGTACCACATATATATGTGCCACACAGTAAAAATGAAGTTGTAGAAGGATAGAGGAAGGAAAGTGAGTATAATAAAAAATAAGAACAACAATCATTAGAGATTAATGTACAGGAATGAAATAAAAACTCGCTCTCTGTTGATCACTTAACTGGTGGTAGAACTCATTCTTGATCACATCCGGGCTGCAGTCTGTCAGAGCGTAGGCAGAGACAATGAAAAGACATTGTTTTTCACGCCGATTTCTTCTCATTTTCATGGGGCTTTCTAATCTAACAGCACATAACCGGCTGTTAATGGAGATCCGATCGATTGGTGATGCTTCAGCTCTAGCGCTTGTTGTGACACCAACGCCAACAAAAGCAGACGACGATTCCACAGGGTCCCTGGATAGACGTGCGTAAAACAAGTTTTTCGAAGCAACAGATAGAGAGTGAATTTGTAGTAGTTTACTAGGATCTTGGGTCTCGGATAGACAACATATGTCGATGTTGAGACTCTCTAGAGACAAAGCCAACCCTATCTGTTGTCCTATCTTTATTGGTTTGTGAACGTTGAAAGAGGTCAGTGAGAGTAACTTCTTCAACTAAAAGAGTTATTTCTGGTTGTATTTTTCCAACTGATCTGCCCCATTATTATTATTATTATTATTATTATTATTATTATTATTATTTCACTTTCATACACTAATTTCCAATTATCGTTCTTTTTATTATGCTCACTTTCCTTCATCTATCCTTCCACTACCTTATTTTTATTGTGTGGCACACATATATTTGTCACTTCCTTATGTTTCAATAAATAGATGGATGCATTTTTGGGGAGTTGCAAAGTATTCCTCGGAAAAGTCCATATGGGTTCAGAAAACACTGGGAACCATTTTATTCAGTCAACGTTGAATAGAAGCTTCCCAGAAACATCTAGAATGTAAATTGCCAAGTGTTATGTTTCTGATTGGATATTTACCTCTTTTGCTACTATATTTGCTTTGGTTCCGGAAAATTTCAAAACCGTACAATCATCTGTAGTATTATAAATATCCTCGTTTTTCCGTACACAAACTAACCTTGAGGTAAAGTTTTTTTCGCACTTCGCGCCTTTCCTCTTGTTTTCAAGTAATCGTGTCAATTTAGCCTGGAGTTACTAGAAACGTCTAGTAAGTCGGATCGAGCACTCATTTAGCAAGACTTATCACAAATCATGAGTAATGATATCCTGTGATTCTAATTCCTTGATTTTAATCATTTTTGCGAGCCATATCTGCTATGTTTAACCTTTTTTACTGTCACCAATGCTACTGTTACCCATTGCTGTTTTGTATAGATCTTATTGGTTTTTTATCACTCACTGTACTGATATGATATATCAACTTGGGCAAACACTTTTATGCCCGGTTCTACTTTCGTAACCACTGACTGAAGAGGCTATAATGAGTTAAGAAGCATAGTCCAATTAGGATACATCCCTTTTTCTTTCTTCAGAGTTAAACTCAAATAAATCATCGGACTATTGATAGATTGAATAATAGGCTCTGTTATATCGTTTAAATATTTGAAAAGGTCGAGATTTCCGTTACCATTATTTTGCTTTGAGTTGTCAGATAGTGACATTTTACTTTATTTTTTTCACCCAATACCTAATCTTTTCTATTCCTACTAATATTGTTAGTACTACTGTGGTGAACGAAAACACAAGTGGTAACAATCGAATGTTTTTGAACATAAAATTACAGAATATCTCAGTAAAATCTGACAACTCTACAGTGAATACTCAATTCGCAAGATGTCAATCAATTGTCACAAGCTTGACTGTTCCTTTTACAAATATCAGTCAATCGTCTGGGACTTCAATGTTCCGCATTTCCATACCAATTGCTTTCTGTTCCCGTTCTTTCCCCCTCGAGTTTCTGTTGCCAGACATTCTAGTCCCGACTAGCGTATATTCTACTTATGTCTATATAAGTAGCACACATCACACTTCTATTTTGGGATTAGGATTGATATTGCTAATGTTATGTGGTAACTTGAATCGGTTCATATTTGTGCCTGGTATAAGTCTCACGTGACTGTATGTCATTTCACAAATATTTTGAAAACGAAAAGAAATCATTAATAGTAGCATTGATGACCTAACGTAAGACCTTACTGATATAACGGATGGTTTACAACATTTTACTCTGTTACACGTGCATTACGATAATACGTTAATAAGACTAATCACGTTATATCAGAACTAGGATTCACAACCCAGAATAGAGAACCAGATTAATAATTACAAGCAGTCACACACAGTGAGTCCGAACTAGAAATCAATGATAAGGAGGAAAATCATATATATTTACTAGTCCGTATGCTGTGGTTGTTTGTTCACGTTTAACAACCAATCATATTTTACTTTCATTACCACACATCACTTATCAGGCTTGATCATCAAGTGAACTCTATGCTTATCTGGTGTATATGCATTGCCAATATTTAAAATTTTATTCTTCAAAGAAACTATCACTTCTAACTCCGAAAAGGAGACATATGACACACACTGGAATTTTACTAAGATTTTAAAGATTGGATATGTTCTTTTTTGAAACATTGTCTATTGTCATTGGGATTTCCAGTTAAGTTTTTGATATTAGTTATGTTGTTGTTCTATATTTTCTGCTTTCGGTAAACATTTGATTGACTCTTTGTTGAATTGGTGGTAAATTTTTTTTACTACTATTCAGGTGCTTTTGTGGCTGGTCTTGATGCAGGATTAATCTATAATTCATGGCCAAAAATGGCTGATAAGTGGATTCCTGATGATTTAATTGTATCTCGATATGGTTCTACTGTGAGGAACTTTTTGGACAATCCAACTACAGTTCAATTTACTCATCGAATGCTAGCTTATACAACAGTTTTAACCACAGGTTTATTATGGGCAAATGTCATGCGTTTAGGTGTAGCATGTACAGGACCACGTATTAGGAATGCTGCACACTTGGTTTTTGGTGCTGTGTTAGGACAATCATTACTTGGCATAACAACTTTATTATGTTATGTACCAGCTTCATTGGGATCATTGCATCAATGCGGTGGTGTTGTTTTACTTTCATCCTTACTCTGGTTTACGCATTGTTTACGTGCTGTTCCAAAATAAAAAGTTGCTAACACTTTTTTTATATAAAATAATTGCAACTTTTTTTCACCATCTCGTTCATTTTCTGGATGTTCCATTATAATCATTGTTAATATAATCTTGATAAATATAATGCACAAAGTATTCAAATTGCTTCAGAATATGTTAACTAAAAAAACTAATTATATTCACTTCCAAGCATCTTTTTAGAGGAACTAAGGGATTAATCTTATGATTAAAATGCAGGATTTTGACATCTGTAAAATACTACCTTTTTAATGGGAGGCATCGTTCTTGTGACTAGGATTGTACTGATATTAACTGCTGCTACATATGTTGTAAACTAAAATGCGCAAAATGAGAATAAAGCGGAATATTTAAGTGATGGAGTGTGAAAGAAATAAGAGCGACCGTTGCAAGATTATTGTGTGATTCATTTGAATGTGAAGTGCAGCGAAAATAATGTTTCTACCTGTAATCACCATCTGGTTTGTGTGTGGTCTATAATTGTGTTCGGTTTCCTGAACCAAAGAAGGTATTAGGAAACGACGTTGGAGGGCGGATAGGACGTACAGTGTAGAAACAATCAGAATGTGTCGCGAGGCAAACCACAACTCGGAGTCTTGAAGGGAAAGGGAAAAGATGCTGAATAAATAAAATCGCTCTGGGAATTGGAGGGAGACATCGAAAAAACGAATTTCAAATAGAAACAAACGAAAAGAATTGACCATGACAGATGTGGGCACAGGTTTTGAGAATGTTTATCCCGTGGTAAATATCACTTTCGTAATTCACGTGTCATTAGTCAAGCCAAATGCTTTAAGTTCAGTAAACTGGGACACAACAAGTCGGTTTGTAGAGCTACTGTTCACTTTGACACTAGTTATGATAAACCCCGTAGCTCTGATTCTGTTGAGTCGGGTGTTTCTAACTATCATTAATTTTTGTCCACGATTTCGAAACCTAATATCCATAATCAGAAGCTGTTATACAGGCCGCTTGGTTCATTCAATGACACAGGCAGTACAGAGTCCATTATTTCGTTCAAGAACCTGAAATCTCCAGATTATAGTGTTGTAGTATGACCCACTGTAGCCTTATTATTGAAGATTGCTGGACAAAAATTACCTATACAACGAAACTGAATTTCTAACTATAAATAATAGTTCTTCATACATGCTTCGTGGGCTTTCAGTTAGTAATACTGGGTTTAAATTTAGGAAAAGCCTAAAGCAAAAGTTGTGTTTATTAGTTTTTAAAAAGGATTGATACTTTAACTAAAGATTTGATATATGCGTGTGTTACGTGCAGTGAAGGGATGAGAATTCAGATTTTAGAACTTTAAGTAAAGGGTGGTCCAGTTTGCCTTAAAATACGAATAATTCCATATGGTCTTTGAGAAGCAGTATTTAAGACATTTAATTATTTGTGCACAAAAAGAACAAATGAACCGATCTATTCTTTAGCGTGGGGTATTTCTATCGTTACGTGCTTGAATTTTGATGGCAAGCTCCCTAGAATATGTTGTGACGACAGATCAACACTGAACCCCCGTTTGTTGAAGCAAACGTGCATGACGGTGTTAAAGTCTATCAGGATGATATTATTATTCATATTTTTGATAAAGTAGCTCATGATCAGAGACTTATTGCTTTGTTGTATCGTTTAATTGGGAAAATTAATTAAGCAAATCTAAACTGGTGTTCATTTTGTGTATCTAGTTTTGAGTGTCTTGAATACCTGGTTGACGGTAACGGTTTTAGACCAAATATGAAGTGACTATTCCCACTGACAAATGCACCATCTACGGAAGATCTTAAAAACTTATGAACTTTAGTGGGTGCACTTCAGTAATATTACCGTTTGATTCCTAGTTTTCCTTATCATGCTAATTGTTTGTTTCAAATCTTATATCCAATCCGTTTAAATGGAGTGAGGAACAAAAGTCATGATTACGAAGTCTACTAAAGTTTCTTAAAACTGATGCCGTTCTTCAAACTTACTCCCTTAGTTTACACTCTGTGTTTACTATTGGTGAATCACCTGTGGATGTTGGTTCACTTTTGTAGCAGGAAGATAGATTGGTTATCTGTGTTTTACGCAAACTTACTGTTACTGGACAAAGTTATTCACAAACTCAGCGAGAAGCATTGTCTGTGTTTTGAGCTGTTAAAAGACTTCATAAATATCTATATGGAAGGAATTCACTATTTTATGGACCATGAAGCTTCAAAGTTCATTTACCATCTTGCGAAATTCCTAGCAGTCTCCTCAGCTGCTACGGTTCAACGATGGAGTATTACTTTGAGTGGTTATAGCTATTCTATTCAGCACAGTAGTGCCAATTTGTAAAATACTACTTTTTTAATGGGAGGCATCGTTCTTGTGACTAGGATTTTACTGATATTAACTTAAAAACACCAGAAAAATGATAACATGAGTTCGGTTCTTATACGATGGTATTGTATTGTACTCTTTGACTTGAAAGATGAACAGAATTTGGATGAAATATTCTTTTATTGCTTAGTAGCATATATATATGTGGTCAAATTTTAACAACTGGGTTACATGTCAAAATCCTACCTTATCGAGTGTTCAAATAGAATTTTAACATATAATTAACTCTGATATCAGTGTGAATTGCCCCCACTCTATGAATCCGCATATAGTTGGGTTTTTTTATGAGTGAATGGAGGTTCAGCACTAAGAGGAAATATTAATACAAACATACAGGAAGCAAATATCGTGAACATAAATAATTCCAAATGACCGAATGTGGAAGTAAAATGAGGTTGAAGTCCTAGACAAACCAAAAGTATATAATTTACTTCTATAGAACTTGTAACTTATTACTGCTTTATTACTTTAAAGAATCCCTACCTACATTAAATAGTCTGATGGTATCCCGTTTAAAAATTGTGGTTGAGAAGTGGACCTTCAAATAATAGCACATTTCCAGACTACTTTGAAGCAATCTCTTTTAGGTTAAGCTAAAGATAAGGACAATTCTTTTGAACACATAAACCAACCTAAGAATAAATAAATAATATATTTGTAAAATCCCAATTAGTAGAAAATTAAAAAAAAGTCCAAATGGGATTCGGAACCTATCCATTTACCTAAAACCTACGCACTCAAATCGTTGTATTGACTTCCATTCAGCACATCCTTTTAGTGTTAAGATCTCGCTAGCATTAAATCTTTTTAGAAGAGCTAACAAGATCATCACATCAGATGAAGACAAACAAAAAGAATATAGTTGGCATCTTACAATTTAATAATTTCCCTATGAAGATTATTAGCAGTATATTAAAACAAGACAGTTTAGTACGTTATAATAATGATTCGAATGAAATGCCATGGATTGGTACTGCAGTTCTACCATACCGTCATGGCACAACAGAAGAACTTCAAAGAATCTTGAAACATCACAGAATTAAAGTATATTACAAAACAACGAACACACTACGAAATACTTTAGTTCGCCTAAAAGAAAAAGTCCCGTTCATGTCCACACAGAACTGTGTCTACAAATTAGGTTGTATCGATTGTGATGCCTTCTATATTGGAGAGTCATCCCGCGAAATCTTGACTAGAGCCAAAGAACATATTAGGTACACAAAGAAACCTCTTAATAATCCTGTAGAATTGGATCAACTTCAAATTAAATTGGCAACAGCAGTTCATGCCATTTTCAACAACCACCAAATTGATTTTAAAAACATCAAAATATTGCAAAAAGGCTTTTCCAACTACAAAGAAAGGAGGGTAGCTGAAGCGTTCCATATAATGCTTAATCCTACTTCTCTCAATAGAAAGGAAGGCTTCACCATACATCCTACTTGAACCATCTATCCTAGCCATTCAGTCTGATCATATTTACAATTCACACTACCATATTATAAATTGAACTCTATCGTTTCTCACCATAAAGGTCACACAGTTTTTCATTCTTAAGCAATGCACACACAAATTTACATACATATCACTTATGAATCACCTTGACAGAAATGACATGACATTAACTTGTCCAGGCCTGTTTTTGATTGATCAGATATTATTCTTATTGTTCCGTTTGTACTATTTAAACTTGGGTTAATTTTAATTTGGTTACTTATTCTCTGAAGAAGTGACTTACACTAAGTCACGAAACGTCAGAAAGTCTAATTTTCTACTCATTGGGATTTTACAAATATATTATTTATTGATAACAACCTACCCAATGCTCAATTTATTCGAAATTATCAAATCAAACCTTGGTAATGATACATACAACCTAAGAATTTCCCCATGGTAGTTTCCATATAGATTTCAAATGTCTTGGAGTCAATCTCATGCTGTTTCTATTCCAGGTTTGGCTATAGATGATCATGGATAGCTAACACCTGTACTTATCTGAGATTGGAATCTCAACTGACATAGAGTCATTTATGTTTATATCCCATCACTTGATTGTGTATATTGAGCGCTTCTCCATACTTACACACACAGTTTGGTAAACTCAGCGATATATAACTCACTTTTACATTATCGAAGCGTACATGGAAACATGGATTTAATCCCCAGTGACGATTAGCTTGTCTATAGTGTCATATTATTGACTCTGCCGTCCCCTTCTCAGAGTATTCCTGACTTTATGCGGTACCAGATTGTCAACTCTTTTCTTCCAAGCGAAATGGAAAAAGAATCTAGATGTCATTTAACTTCTTATTGATTTACAGGCTTTAAAGGTTATTTCACAACATACATGCGTTGAATAGACACCTTACTAAACTCCGTTTGTGCTGTAATGGCCAAAATCTGTAAGGTCTTATAACTCACGTCATCGGTTAAGTGTGAAGTTAGTGAAAAGTCACCTATGGAAGATTAATCAAAAAATCATTTCTGGCGCACTCCGGTTTAGGACTACGAAACCCACACATGACTTCGCAGGAACAAACGACTTTTATGGCTGGAAGCCATTGAGCTACTTAGTCAAAATTCAGAAGCTCGCATATGGATTCCCTCTCAATTTGTAATACAGCTTGACTACCAAGCAAGACTATTACAAACCAGTGGCGGCTCATCGAATTTTGAAAATACGAAACATTAGGTTTCGATCCAGTTGCTAAATGGTAATGTATTAGCCTCGGAACATCTAAGTTCGGTCCAACATAGGTTTGACAGTGAACCTTTCCGTGTAGTATCTAACAACTGGTGGTGGTGTAGTGAACAGAACACGGGTGGGGACAGTCGAGTGTACTTAACACAGAATTACAGGACTTGTTAACAAAATCTAACAAT